TGTTATTTCAAAAGTAGATCACGTCGTGCGTGGCAAGCGCGCTCATAATGTAAGAGACACCGGCGTGACCACAACATTGCCCAACATCAAATGTAATGTACGCGGAACGAAACTGAGGCACTTGTTATTGTGTGCTCTGTATAGTCCTCCAACTAAAATGATTTTTCTTATTTATTATTATTCTCCTTACTATATTCAGTTATTTAAAACAGTGTTACAAAACTACTTTATTAAAGCAAACTCACCACAGATTATCTTGTGGAGATGAGTCTTCATGAAGGCAACCTTCCCACTTCCTCTGAGGCTCATTATGGCCATCATTTTATTCGTCATAGTTCTGCCATGGTAAGACAGATTTATATTAGAATATTATATTGCAATTAAGTTCATTAGTGGGTGTGTGGGAGTGCATGACAGTATATGACAGGGAACATAATCACTATAAACTAATGCAAAAAAAGAACAAAGTTACTTACATTGACTTCTTCACATAGTCTGTAGCATCAACCCCTCCCGACCTCTTCAGATGTTTACTCTCAGATTAAAAATAAAAGTCCAGACCTCCACAAACCTCCATTTTTCTTTTTGTAATACATCTGGGAGTGATCATAAAAACTAAATATTTTTAAGTCTAGATGTTTTACAAATAAAATCTTTCAATTTGAAAATAAGTCATACAGACATTCAATCAAACGAGGTAGGCTGTGCTCATCATTTTTTAAATAATATCTTCCACATCAACCTGTATTTAAATTTGACTAAAATGTAAATCTTTTTTTTTAAGCAGGTATGTGAGTAAAATTTTCAACATGGTTAAATGCTAAAACTAGTTGTTCAATCCTTTAACATTACACCAATGTAGGGCTCATAATAACATTCTCTGTAATGTTAATATTAATGTTTAGAGAAAGAGTACCCCCCCCCCCCCCCCCCCCAATGTCTTTATTTTATTGTTATTGTTGACTTAGTTCGTATGCATTATAAATTTATGATGGGGTTAAAACGGGAAATGTGTTTAAATCAATGTTGATGCAGAAGACAGGTGCGGGCGTGGAGTAGAAACAGAAGAAGTTTGCTCTGTCCAAAATCACCCATTACTCACTATATAGTGTACTATATAGTGAGCTCGCCATTTTGTAGTGCTGTCCGAATGTATAGTGGTGATTATTATACCCTACATAGTCCACTCAATGTATCCCATAATGCATTTTGAAAAGTAGTGTACAACCGATGGTCACTAACCTAAGCCCTACATACACTGTAAAAAATTTGGAGTAGGATTTACTTGAAAAAACCTTGCTAAACTATCTCACTCAGAAAATGCTAGTAAATTTACAAAGATTTGCCAAGTAAAAACCTAAACATATTTATCAGTAGCTTTAATTAGAAATCTTTAAGTTAAATTTACTTGGAATGTGGAATTAAGTAAACTTTACAAAAAAATAAGTAATTTTAACTCGGCTTGTAAAAGGTTGATTAACACCGATTTCCTTTGCCTTTGTATTACATTTCACTAAAACAATTATCTTGAATTTTATTTGTCATTTATAGTATGTGCTTTACTTAGACCATCTAAGTAATTTATATATACATCATGTCAGACATTAAGCCTTATGTGAATGCAAACACCTCAATACTTGGTAGACAATACACAATGGTGGTAACATTTGATGGATCGTTTTTGTGTTTGAATGTGTCGTTTTAAGCAAAAAATTTACTCGAAATGTCAGACGGTTCAAGGTCCAAAAGACAGTTAATAACAGTTTCAGATGCAGCTTCAAATGTCTTTAAATGACACCAGACGATGAATAAGGGTCTTATCATGCGAAACGATCGCTTACTTCAAAACTTATTCCAAAAATGTAACTTTTCTAAGGACAAATGCTAGCCTTGCTCTATTCTGTCAGGCGCGTTTGTAATGTCACATAATACGTAATTACGTTCAAAAGGTCACGGGCGACGTAGCCGGAAGTACAGAGTCAAAATCGTCCGACATCGTTGTTTTTCCTTTTAATTCCTTTTTTGTAAACGGCGTTTGAGCTAGTTTGCACGTTCAACCTATGCGTTCAACTTGTAAACACTGACTCTGTACTTCCGGCTACGACGCCCGTGACCTTTTGAACGTAATTACGTATTACGTGACGTTGCAAACGCGCCTCACAGAATAGAGCAAGGCTAGCATTTGTCCTTAGAAAAGTAACATTTTTGGAATAAGTTTTGAAATAAGCGATCGTTTCGCATGATAAGACCTTTATTCATCGTCTGGTGTCGTTTAAAGACATTTGAAGCTGCATCTGAAACTGTTATTAACTGTCTTTTGGAACTGAACCATCCGGTTCCCATTGAAGTCCATTATATGGAGAAAAATCCTGGAATGTTTTCATCAAAAACCTAAATTTCTTTTCAACTGAGGAAAGAAAGACATGGACATCTTGGATGACACGGGGGTGAGTAAATTATCAGCAAAAGTTTTTTCAAAAGTGAACTAATCCTTTAAGAGCGTAACGCACATTTAGAGCATACAATCCCTGAAGTGCATGTTCATTAACATAAAGAAGGCCCTTTTCACAAAAACTACTCAATTTACATCAGACTCACAGGGAATGCAAACACTGAACTCTATGTACACGGGCAAATATTAAATAGTATAACAGCTGTCCTCACACTTGATGTAAACCTCACAGGAATGAGTGAGAGTCTCTTAGCATTACTCTGGTCTTTGCAGTAAAAAGCTGGCTGAGTAGTTTTTTGACTGCCAATGTCAGTGGTTATGAGAAGAGTAATGCAGTTCATTGCAGTTCACCATAGACAGTATAAGAACTGGACAGAGCGATGTCACTGGACCTCCATTGAGATGATTGAAGCCCGTTTTTGGCGATTTTTTAGCACTTCCGTCCCTGACGCGCAGACTCAAACAGAGCTTGACGGCGTAGATGTGACGTGAGTGACCCGTCTGTCTTCTAGTGCTGTGGCATGAGAAATCTGAATCATTCCCTTCTGAATCTCGCAGGGACGGAGAGTGTGAGTAGGAGCTGTCCGTGAGCGAGGAGCAGGAGACAGGGTTCCTGCACACTTTTTAAAGTAAAATTTAAGGCTTTTTAAGACCTTTTTAAGACCTGAAGAAATCAAAATTAATACCATACATTAGGGGTGTGCGATATTGACAAAAATATATCTCGATATTTTCACGTTTTGTTGATAAACACAAAACAAAAACAAAATCAGTAAAATATCAACTAATTTTTATCAACAATAATTAGTTGATATTTTACTGATTGTGTTTTTGTGCTGGTGCCATGGCTGGTTTAGGCCTGTTGTTGACAGCAGACTCGCGGAGATATTTACATTTTTCATATTCTTCTATGCAGTGATCAGTTCACAGCAGTGACAGAAATTATTAATTAATGTGCAATATTTGCCACCTTAAATTGATTTCTAGGGCATTTTCACCTATTTATGGAGATTTTTTTTTCTAAACTCATTTAGAGTTATGCATCACGTGCATCACATATATACAGTAATTATACTTATTTATACAATAATATTTCATTACACAATAATTATACAGTACCACTGTTAGCAGTCAAATTAAATCATTCAATCAAAAATCCATCTTTGCAGTGCAGAGTAGACGCAGAAGCAGCCTTAGAAGTGGCATTAATATATACACTCCAATTACAATTGCATAAATCAAGCTATAAGGTTTTTAAAAAAAATCAATATTCAATATTTAAATGTGAAATGATTTCTAATTTTTTACTTTTAATATGAAACTAAAACCGCCAGTAGGCGGCGGCAAATCGCTGTCTTAATAAGCGAGTTGAGGGAGTCATTCATTCAACCGATTTGTTCAAACGGGAAAGAAGCAAGTGATTGAATCGTTAAAATGACTCGTTCAAGACGCGGATTTCCTTTAAGAAATCATCGCTGTCTGTTGCATTGAGACTCTGCTACGGTTTCATTTTGAAATTCTAGTCGGTGAAATAAAGGGAAAACAAACAATATCGATAATGTTATGGCTAAAAACTAACTCACAATGTCACTTTATTTTTAATTTAACTATTGTATAACATAAATATCACACTTGTGCACGGGAAACGGCACTCTTACTGATGTGATATTCTAATATAACAACATGATATAAATATAAGGCAAAAACTAATTTGGGGACATACCTATAACCATAATAAATACATGTCTATGCCTATAACTGCACACATCACGCCGTGAAAACACGAGAGACAAATGCGATGTCAGCTCACACTCACAGTGCCTCGTCCATCGTTAAAACAATAGAATATCCTAACAGATGATACACATCGCACACCTCTACGCACATAAAGAATTAACTTACGACTGAACTGACATTTGCCAACTTTCTTCTCTCCTCCTCTCCTGTCTCGCGTGCAGGAGACGGACGTTATTCAGCCGCGAATGTGACGCGAATTGTCACGTGAACAAGCAAATCCACAAAGATAAAAATTAATACGTACGCAAATTAGATGGTTTTAATTTGGAAAACATTAAGATATGACTGAGTCGAAGTGTCATCTAAAATTTAAGACCTTTCATACCTAAAAATAAGACTTTATAAGACTTTTAATGGCCTTAAATTTTAAATATCTAATTTAAGACATTTTAAGACTTTTTAAGGACCCGCGGGAACCCTGGGAGACACTTCTGCTAGGTATTCTGATTAATTATTTTGTCATTTTGCCTCCACGTTTCCCCGATTGCGCGCGAGCTTCTCCTCCTGTCTATACGGTAATCTCTCTACGTGCGACAGAGAGTCGCGTGGGTATGAAGCAATCGTTAGCTTACTTTCACTAAAACTGCTTCTACGGGGCCATAACATAAGCTACAAGATAATGGAGCCTTTTACACATTGTCGTGTTTCTTTAGAAAGAAATAAAGGACAAATGGGGGTCTTCAAACGCCTCAGATGTAAAGTTATTCGCTGTCAAAGTGACGCCAAAATGAATGGGAGTCAATGGGAATGCTAACGCAAGTGAAGTTCTGCTACAAGATGGCGGCTCCCGCGAGGCTTCATCTTCCGGTGGATGGATTACCCCCTTGGTCTGAACACTCGGCACAGATCCCCGTCCCCGTCCTCTGGGTTTACAGCGCGGGCCGCTGAGTCCAGGTTTGAGACGCGTCTGCTGATTCATAGACCGGGGGTTCTCTCTCAGGCTCTGGAGGGTAAGGAGGAGGCGGGAGGTCAAACCATGACGGCCGGCTGGAGAGAGAAATAAAGACAGAGTGTTGAGCTTAAGAACAGGAGATGGATGATTAAGGTCAAAGTCAAAGTTTATAACAGGCTGGGTTTCTCACTGATGCCACAGTCACCGCGAAGATTCTGCTAGACAGGTAAAGTTTGTCATGCTATTTGGAGAAACCCATTAAAATCACTGCTAGTAAAAGTTAACGTAAGCTATGATTAGCAATGGCACAAGTCATGCCCCGCTTAGACATGGTAAACATCTCAATTTGTCTGAAGTAGCTTTATGGCCAAATGGTAAATGGTATCACGATGAAACACTCTAAAACCTTGTGTGTTCATTTTCGATAATCCCAATGTGTTAACCATAGTATTATCACACAAATGCAACAAGCTACTTCTCCATTGCATATCATGTCTTGAGTCCTCGGTCACTCAGCCGATCAGTATAATAAGTAAATAAAACACGGAAGGGCATTTGACATTTTGTCTGTTTTTGAGTTAGTTTATAATTTGCAACATAATTGTGTAAGGCGTAATAGGAGTTCCCTCTCGGGAGCAAGTAGAGTGTTGCATGTGCATTTATTTAAAAATCTTCTCTAAAATTCAGAAAGATCCTCCGCTCTGCCTTTAATGTGGGGTCAACATAGTGTAGATCAAATACATTATAAAATATTCCAAATATCTTGAAACTTGCATTTTCCAGGCATCACGTTTCAGTGGTTTCAGCCTATTTTCGCAATGTTCCACGGTGTGTCTGTGAAACGTTCAGGTACCATCGTAGCGGTTTCGTGTGCGCGTGAACGTATAACAAAGTACCTCACGTGGGAAACACAAACGCGTGTAACTAACGTAAATCAAGTAAGCTGGTGCGCATCCGGAGGCCACGAAGCGTTGGCGATATAACACATTAGTGGATTAGTCTGATATTCAATGTTGCCTATTCTAGTATGTGGCATTTAATTATGGCCATCAGCTGATGTTGTGTTATCCTGTTATTAGTTATAGAAAGGCTATAACACTTTTTCACATGGCTCATACAGACACAGTTGGTCATTGCCATTAAAAATCCCAATCGGTCAGCCACTAGTCGAATAACAGTTGAAAGCTCGACATGTTTAATTTGTAGTATTGATATTAGCATACCCGACGTCCAGCACAGCCTGCGAGTATGTTGGAGGACAGTCTACGGCAGCTCTGGGATACGGTGAAGGAGAGAGCAGCTGGAGACGGTGGACTGGCGGGGACGGACACTGGGGTGAAAGGTCACGGCCTCCTCTGTCCACTATGACGAGCCGGGACAGCAGGAGGGGTCGGTGTGTCAGCAGGACACTTCTCTTCCTCTGATGGTGGAGGGCGAGGGCCAGCAGGGCCACCACCAGCACAAAGATCACGGCGCTGCCCATCACGGCGTACGCGACACTGGGGTAATAGTGCAGGCGATAGTCCAGGGTCACAGCGTCGTATTCTAGGACGAATCAGGGTCAGTTTAGATTATTTCAAAGATTATTTTACATAAATAGCCGAGTAAATAAACTGGAACATACAATCAAACATACACAATCATACCATAAAGAGGTACATTCCCAAGATATACACCCTGATATAACAGATTACTGTGTTAATCAGTTGTTGTGGTTTTTTATATATTTCTTTAAAAAAGGGTAACGCTTCACAATAACATGGCATGAATATTCATGAGTTCATTGTGCAAGTAACTATTAATTCAGGAATGATTGTTCATGCCCTGTTATTGTAAAGTGTTCCTATGAGAAGTCTACATTTGCACAGTTTAACCTTTCTCTAATTACTGTAAATATTAAACTATTCATTCAGTGAACACATGACTTTTGGCAGACACTTGCATTCACATCAACTTAAAACATCAAAGTATTGCAGCGGTTCGTGTGTTCCCTGACCTATGACCCTGGGTTACAGTCAGGAACATCTACGCTAATGAAGATTTTACACTGGAATAATGGACACAACCAAACTCATTAAAGAGAGAGAGAGGGTACTTCAGCCACAAAGCTAATTTCAAACATTTAAGCTTTAAAGCTCATTGAAAGATTCGGCATGGAGATGTGTTTGTGTCGTGTGTGTTTGTGTCGTGTGTGTGTGTGTGGTGTGTACCTGCTGTTGTGTGTGTGTGTGTGGTGTGTACCTGCTGTTGTAAGGCAGTTCTCTTCATCGCTGTTATCTTGACAGTTATCCTGTCCATTGCAGAGGAAACTGCGATCCACACAGCGGCCGTTGCGACAGTGGAAGCGAGCGGATGAACACACCAGAGGGTTAGCAGCTGTGGGACATACATTCATGACATATTTCATACATTTGTACATGCTCTCTTTCCTCTAGTATAATACAAAATATTTTATTGATTTTAATATTATATTGAATTTTACTTTGAATATATTTCTTAACCAAACAGTTATTTAATAAGCAGAAGGTGAAGTAATCCTACTAACCTCACCCAAATCTAATTGAACATCCTTCCAATAAAGTGAGTAATAACTGAAGAATAACCCGTTAAACCGACCCACATAGCATAAAATTATTACACAATAATACATCATTAAAAAATCATTAACAGCTCTTAATGAAGTAATACACAGGCCTAAACTAATCATTTAACCCTCAGGTGCTCTTCGTTTCGGAGTCACACTTGTTATCTTCCCGGTCAAAAGTGACCGGACACCTAAAAATGAAACTTTCTCCATCCCAGTAAAACCAATGCAATTTATTTTTGTTCTATAATATTTATTCTTTTTAATTTAGTATTTTGAGACAATTTGATGTAATTTATTAATATTTATGCAATATTTATGGTTTATTTTTGCCATGGAAAAATATATATATATATTTCTATATATATATTATTTTTTTCAAAAAAATATTAACGCAGTATTTTAGTTTAATATAGAGTCTAAGCCTTCAGAAAAAAAATATTTTTTGAAGAAAATTAGCACCATCTGGTTACAGTATAGAGAAAAAGCGTAGAATCATGGTGTAACCACTAGATGGCATGTACAGCTCTCTATGGAGAGGCTTGTGAATTCCTCAGCTGTTTATGAACACATTTTTTTTTTGTTGTTGGTGGATTTGTGTATATAGTTGAAACAATCTCAAAAACTATTTCTTATATAAAAAAATTGACAAAAAACAAAAATTCACATTTTTTTTCTTTTTTTTACAATTTCCCAATCATTTCCTATGGGGGTCATTTTTGACCAAAGACCACAAGTGTGACTATTTTTTTTAAGACCACTTAGCATGCTCAGATCATGACCTCAATTTTTTGTGTGTTCACATACATAATGCCATAAAAGTCACTAAGTTTTGTAACATCGCGATGAAGCTGTGATTTTTAAAAATTCAAAACATACTTTTTGTAATGAAAATGTATTGGTGTGTATGTGTATAAAAGTGTGTTTGTATGTGTGTGTTGGTGGGTGTGTCTGTTTTGCACTCTAGATGTTGTAGAGTGTCACCCCTTTCCTGCGGTGTACTTTTTTTGTTTAGAATTGTGGCCGATTTGTTGATTGTACATACAAAAATTCAGAGAATTTTTTTTTTGTCAATTTCCCATTCATTTCCTATGGGTCGGTCATTTTTGACCGAAGAGCAAAAGTGTGACTGATTTTTTTTACGACCACTTAAATTGCTCGAATCATGACCTCAATTTTTTCTTTGTTCACATACCCAATGCCATAAAAGTCACCAGGTTTCGTAACATTCCGATGAAGCTGTAATTTTTTAAATTTCAAAACAGAAAATTCTTCGGTCAGAAATGGGGTCAGAAATGACCGAAGAGCACCTGAGGGTTAAAGTGGTCTCGTTCCTTTACTCAAACCCAAGGTTGGCGGATCATTGGACACTCACTGCAGTTGTCTTCATCGCTGCCGTCAGGACAGTCCCTGAAGCCGTTACACTGGAAGCGGCCAATAATGCAGTGGACCCCGTTTGCACAAGCAAAGAATGTGGGCGCACACTTTGACTTCATCTTCACTGTGAGGAGGAGAGAGAGAGACATAATGTGATCTCGGTATTTGGCTGAGCAGTCATTTGGGTGACACACCATTGTATTAAGAGTTCTTCTAATCCACAAAATAAAGGCCCACAGACAGAACATGTGTCACAAACAATAGATACAACAGTATCTACCTTAATGTTATGAAGCTACGAGAATATATTTTGTAAAAGAAAAGAAAAATAACAACTTAATTCAACAATTTCTTCTTTTCCATGTCTTTTCCTTTGGCTTCACAGCAATACCACAACGCAAGCGTGTGCAGGTAATGCGCTCTGCCATCCGGGTTCCACACGCATGCGTCACGGTTCTCGTGAATGTGTCGAAGACTGACACAGGAGAGAAGAAATTGTTGGTATTGAAATAGTTGGTATTTTTTCTTTGCACGCAAAAGGTATTCTTGTAACTTCATAAAATTCAGATTAAATCACCGTAGTCACATGGACTATTTTAACGATGCCTTTACTACCTTTCTGGGCCTTGAACGTGGTCAGTCTGTGGAGGGTCAGAAAGCTCTTGGATTTCATCATAAATATCTTAATTTTTGTTTCGAAGATGAATAAAGGTCTTACAGGTTTGGAACAAACACGAGGGAGAGTAATTAGTGACAGAATTTGCATGTTTTGGTGTTTTTGACCTTTGATTATATAAAACATGATCAAAAGAGTGATTTCCATTCCATGAGAGTAGATGTTAAACTTCATGCTGATTTGTACCAAGATAAGCACAAACTAAGACGTAGCTTTACCAGGGTTTCCCCAGGTTTTTTTAAGACCACTTTAATGAAAATTAAGACCTACATCGCACCCATTATGTAGCCGTAAAACACCAGATCAAATCCCAATAATGACTATTACTGATGAATGTTTTAATTAAAAATACATTTATTATAAATACAATTTATAATGTCATTATCGTTTATAATTATATATTTTTTTTGTAAATTTGAAAAGGGTAGACTATTTAGTCAAGAGCAGTGAGTAATTTATTTGTCCTTGACAATTGGTATTTGGTTAACATGAAAACACAGTAGCAGGTTTATTAAAGTGCTGCCCCTTTAAGAGCGAACGCACGGCCCTATTTGAACATGCTAGCTGCCTTCACTTGAGATGTAACTGACTTTTGTTTACTAGGATACTCACCAAGACGGCCGTTTTTACATAATTTTGTCTGAATTTGTCCGTACAAGTTCATGGAACTTGCGTTCATGGAACTTCTTGACCTGCACACGTCCAGGAATAATGTAGGGAACCACTTGTTATACATAAATCAGGTAACAGGTCATTTTACTTACATATTATACGACTTAGTTTTCATCCAAATAACATGTGCTGAGAGAACGATCAGGATTCAACAGAAGTGCTCGCGCGATCTCTCCCCCCCTCTCTCAGCAGTTAACGTTAATAATAAGCTAGATGATTCGTTTTAATTTTCTTTGCCATTGACATCCGACTGAACTACAAACATTCCACTGATGTCTGTTTGAAGGGATGTGCTCGACCAGCTCGCGCGTCTGTGCTGCTGCGTGCTCAATCCACTGCGCGTTTCAGTGCTCGCGCACCACAGCTAAGTTATGTTACTATACTGCGTTTAATATTCCACTAATAAGACACATTTACTTCATAGACAGCCTTATTTTTTTGGGAAGAAAATGGAAACTCGTATATTAAGACGTTGATGAAAAATTTACTACCAAGTCAAATTGCATTGCATTTCCAACATGACATCATGACTTTTGCGTAAACATACACGCCACTTTCGAGTCAGGTGGCGTGTTATCTCCACGCATTTTGAGCTATCCGCGTGTATCCGCGTGTATGTCTACGCCATTAACGTCCGCGTCATTCCGCGTGTCTGAACACGCAGTCAAATCTCCAGTCATAAATGCCATTAACCCCAGTGACGGTTAGGTTTAGGGACGGGGTTGAGGTAAGTCATATATTTATATAACGTTAAGTCAACGGCGTTCATAAACACGCTGAAAGGCGATTATGCATCTTGATAGCACGCCAAAAATGGAAATACGAATTGGCGTGGCATACACACACTACTTCATGAGATCAGTCTGATATTTCCTACCTTTTCCTACCTTCCAAGGACCGTAATTTTGGTAGCCTAGATTCTATTTACTACCGTGCGGAAACCCTGTTATAATATAGTATAATGAAATTTAAGACCTTCGTTAAAAAAATTAAGACTTGGACAACGGAATTTAAGACTTTTTAAGGCCTTAATTTAGAAACATGAAATTTAAGACCTTTTTAAGACATTTAAGACCCCGCGGCTACCCTGAATACAAAAACTACATAAAGCACACTGACTCACGACCGCTCTCACTGATCACTAGGGGTGTAAATCGGACAGTTAATCACGATACGATATGATATCGATTCTCTCAGCCAGTGATACGATATTTGCCGATACCTCAAAAAATTCTACGATACGATACGACTTTGTTGCTGTCAGGCACCTTCTGCAATGTCACATGATTATGGCTCCAGTATGGATTAAAAACAAAATACATCAGAGTATCCAGCGATCATAAAGATTACAACGATGCATTTGGGTATAAATTCAATAAATATTATTCTTGTCAATATAAATATGATGTAAACCTATGAGAATATATGAATATTTCTCCAAATCTGCACATTGTTGAACTAAAAGCCCTGAGGGACGTTGTTTTGTCAAGCGTTGTCATGATGACACCACAGGAGTTTTTTTTTCCGAATGGGAGCGGCAGACTTACATGCAATACAGAGAGCTTTTCACTCACCACTAAACGTGCCGTTTTAGCAAGATTCCTTGAAAAAGTTTCAACTTTTATTTTCCTTTTACAGCCCGAAGAAGATATCATGGGTTCATCAAGTGTGCTGAAATCCATCCTCGATCACTTTTAGTCAGCTTTGACGAAACTCCTCTCAGCTAGCGCGTCTTTTCAAAGTGACAAGCAGTCACCTGACCTGAATACTGCGCACTGATTTGCTAAAACAGACTTTTCGGGGCTTGTCGTTTCTGCTGTAAAACAAACTTGCGATGCCTTAACAGCGGAAAATACCAGCTTTTGTGACAAAGGGTTCAGTCAATCTTGTCAGGCGTCTATTTCAGCGGAGAAAAGTTATGTGAGGATGTCAAAATAAAGGTACCGTATATCGATATTTTGTGTGTGGTATCGATGCATCGTATCGTTAGACTTTTGATCGATGCATCGATCCATATCGATGTATTGTTACACCCCTACTGATCACCAGCCGACTCTGCGCCGAGCTAAGACTGAGATTCCCTGACGTGACGTAAAACGACGCGATGATGCCAAAAAAAGCTGTTTTTACGAGCAGTCCAAGAGGCTCACTTTATCTACTAAATTAGTGCCCTTATGTATATCAAAACATTTTAAATCCAGCATTAACTTTTCATTTGGTATTTTCATACAATGTTAGATTTTTTTACCTGCAATATGCTCTTTAAGGGTAAAGTGAAATGCACTTCATTATAACCCATTGTGCCTATGGGTAAGACAGTTTTCTAGTATTCTTCTCTTGTTTATTTTCTTTTTACAGATGAACAAACTGATTAAGAAACACTCCTTCTGCTTGATAAAAAATCACTTGAAGCATTGATACCAAAGATAGGCCGACATCTGAAATGTAAAAAGCACCTGAGAGAGCTGCTGGTTGTGAGTTCAGAAATGCACATTAAAGATGGGATGCATCTGCTTTAGGTGAAAACTGAGGTTGGGGCCAATGTTCATTTTAGCTTTCTCACCCGAGGGAAATGTATAATGTACCCAGTTCATCAAGTTATTTTGAGTGTGGCCAAGCCGGGTGCGTGTCACAGGACATTTCATTGCAGTAGATCATTTAAGCGACAGCACCATGTAGAGGCTGAGACAGAAGAATCCAGCCAGTCAACACACTTCCCACAGACATGGACATTGAGGTCTGAAGGCACATACTCACAGGCAGCCTTTGGGGGAGGAGGAGGGTAACGCTGCGGATGACATGAGTTGAGCTGAACTTTATTGTGACATGAGATGAGTTAGAGCAGAAAACTATCACAGAGTGGCCTTGCTTCTATAAAACCATATCTACTGTCAACTTTGTAGTTCAGCAAACATCTAGTCTGGTCTATGATATTGTTGGTGCTTTACAAAGACGATCGATGGATTGACCAAAGCGAGACTCCTGAAGGCCAACAGCTCAATCAGCAAGATTAACCTTTTCAATGCCTGGATATTGAACACTAGCAGATGAGATACTTTGCTCCAGCTGGGTACCTAGTTCAGCCTCGCCCCGGTGTGTCTTATACACCCAACAACGAGACTCACAGACAGGGACTGTAAAACAGTGCAGGATACTTTCCAAAGGATTCTTTGACGTCCACTACTGAGGGATGATGGAGAAGATAATGGAGTGAGAAAAGAAGCTCAGTGACTCAAACAGTCTGGATGACACGGCTGTTTTCCCCACTGAGCCCTCTGTTCCTCTTCTGTTGTATAATGATGACTGTGAAATGGTTAATCCAAGAGGCTCCAAAACCCCAATCTACAAGTTGGGATTCATCTATTTCACTCTTAAATGTCTTCCTCCAGAGTGCCTTTCAAGTCTGGACTCTGACTTTCTTTTGGCAGTGTATAGACACTGTCCTGAAGTCAGTTGTTGATGATATCAATGACTTGGAAACAAATGGAAGTAGACACGGTTCACGTCAAAGGCACATTAAAGGTTTGGGCTGCCCAAATTTGTGGAGATGATTTGGGTCTAAATTCAATCCTTGGCTATACAGAGAGCTTCTCTGGGAACAGTGTTTGTCGCTGGTGCCGTGTGAAGAAACAGCTTTAATGGAAGATCCTTCACTGCTTAGGAATAAGGATGGCAGATTCAGATCTGGTGCAAAGTCATCCAACAGAAACAGGCCTAAAAAGAGAGAAAGTTTTATACAACCTGAAACACTTCCATGTGACAGAAAATGTAGCACCAAATCTCATGCATGATATCCTGAAGGAAAAGGTGCGTATGAAATTAAATTGGTATAAGGCTCTCTCATCTCCAAGAAGGTATTAACCTTAGACCAGGCGAATTACCGGATCACAAGTTGCCATCATGGCATTTGTGACAGTGCCAACAAGCCATCCACAATCCGACCTCAAGATCTAGAAGTGCCTGACAGTTCGATGGAAGAGAACATATCATGATAGAAGATCTCATTCCAGAGGGAAACAAGCATTGCTGCTTTTGTTGACCTGTATGGAAAATATATTTTTTCTCCAGCCTTAACAGAAGATGCAGTTTTATTTCTCAGACCTCTCCTTGATGAGGACCACAGCCTTTTCCTAGAACTCATTCCTGATAGACGTCTAAAGCTAAAACATCATTTCATGCTGCATTATCAGAGACTGGGCCCTCTGGTGCACTACTGGTCCATGCGCTTCGCGGCCAAGCATGGTTTTTTAAAAAGGCTTGCCCACGTCACATTCAACTTCAGAAATCTTTGCAAAACAATGGCCTTCAGGCATCACATGTTGCTGTGTTTCAGAAAGAACAAAGAACGTGTTCCTGGTTGCACTACTCCACTTGCTTCCATTGAGGGATTGATCAAGTTTGCCCCAGCTCTCCATCATTTACTGAAGTGCACTTACCCTCTCGGGCGAAGTGGAAAGGGACAGAATGTCGTCTATGAAGTGTCTCTCTACTGTCATTGACTCCACTGATGATTACCATCCTCTCCATGAAGTGAGGTCAGACAAGGAAGGGGACAGCAACCACCAAGCATCCCCGTGCTACCGGTTGTTTTAAATTGTGAAAGTATATGTTGAATATATTACTAATACTTCACTACAAAAATTAAGCTAGCATTAAAGCACTATTATATGTAGAATAAATGTCCATCTGAAAAATGTCATAATGTAGCTTTATATTTGTTACAAGCACTTAAACCACATGTAGGTAACCATTTTTCCATACTCTATTATAGGAACCACGACCAGAGCAGACCCAAAGTTCCTTACTCAAAGTCCTGAAAGGCTCTTTTAAGTGTCTGGTCTGAAACTGAGTTTGATTACAAACAAGCTGTTTTATAGATGCCTTTCCATGGTTGAAACAGTGATTGAGCAATTACACGATACGGATTTCAGTAAATCAAACTATATTTTTCACCTTCCGATGTAAATTCATAGATCTGAAGCCTGTGTGCACCACCCCAAACGGACAGAGCTGTTATTCTAGATGTGCTCGTCGTTGTACTGTTCTTCGAAACCTCAGGGGGGAAAATAGGAGTAACTGTCCTTTAAACGAACAGGAAGTAGTGGCGAGACGTAGTAATGCACCCAAAGCTCTGTCGTCCGTCTACAGTAGTGCTGCAAACTCAGAAGTCATTGAACAGTGTTAGTGTTGTTTTCTAGTGTTTCTATTTTTTGTGCTTTAAATGTAAAAGTAACATTTTTTTGATGTAAAAGTAATTTTAACAACATTTGTAATAAGAAGAAAGCTTTAACATAGTTTTGATATGAACTCTTTTGGTACAAAAATGCTCATGCATCTTTAAAAGAGGAACCGCACACAAAGTTAGACAAAATGGCGCACACACCGCCACGTGAAATTGCCACATATGCCCCTGTTCATGCACAAAGGTCAAAGGTGTTTGTGGCCTCCGCTGTCACTGTGGAGGTAGAAACAACAAATAATCTTCTGCTTTGTGTGTTGTGCATTTTTACCTATACAAGGGCATTTTGTTCTAATATTAAATGTATGCATCTTTAATGTCAAATTATTACATTAAATCAATAAATCCAGCTAGAATAAGCTCCAACTTTTAAATATTTAAATATTAATTTTTAATTGAAATATAAATGATTTATAATGAATTATGTCATTTAGTCTGCAAACTTTGGATGGACACTGCAGCGGTCATATAACATCACAATCTGCGGCACCATTTTAAAAAACATAATTCAACATATAATACATCCAAATATATGCAGTCATCTTCACTTCACTGCAACACTGCAATCAATTTCAAGTTTGAGTCCTTATTATTCATCTAAGACAGTGTTTCCCAACCCTGTTCCTGGCGGCACACCAACACTGCGTGTATTCTTTGTCTCCCTTATCAAACACACCTGATTCAACCCATCAGCTCATAATCAGGTGGGTTAATGAGCTGATGGGTTGAATCAGGTGTGTTTGATTAGGGAGACAAAGAAAACACGCAGTGTTGGTGTGCCGCCAGGAACAGGGTTGGGAAACACTGATCTAAGAGGTTGCACAGTATTGATCACATTTGCAATTGCGCTGATGTTAGGGAAAAACAGCACTCTTGTTCATTTGATACTGCTTAACTCTATCATATCGAGATATAAGACATTGTAGAGGGGGTATTTCTGCCACATATATTGAATTCTGGGGTCATTCTAGGCAACAGCATTCAAGGCTTCAAGGGTTTACAGGAGTGTTCTGGCCAAATCAGAGCACTCTCAACTTTTCAGAAGGATGGGGTTTTGTACAAAGTGTGTTTCAGACAGACTGGGAAAAGAGGAGCTGCAATAATGTACAGTGTGTGAAAAATGTGTTTTTTGAACATTAAAGTCCCTGTAAAGGCAATTCTACAAAAAAGTTCTAAACACATTATAAATGTTACATATGTATTGCTAAAACATATTACAAAGACTGTGAACTGTGAAGCACTGAAATGTGGAGTTAGACCGTTAAACAGTTTTTTCACCATTGCAATTTTACGGATTGTTTGGGCGGGGCTAAAACAGGGCTCGATGACGCACTGGAGCCCATGAGCTCCTGGACACGCCCCTATCTACAGCTGAGCCTACAGTTTTCAACACAGAAATGCATAGGCTGCTACCTGGATGCGATCATGTACAAAACAGATCGGAATCTTCATTTAAATTCCCTAAAAACGATCAAGAAGAGGTTTTTAGAGAGCCAACCTTGATGAAGAGCTGAGGATCACCGCCAACACCCGCCTCTGTAGTGATCATTTTACACTGGATAGTTTTATAAACTTTCCTCAGAGACACATGGGATTCACTGATAATCCGCTGTTACTGGTGAACGGGGCCGAAACGGCTATCTCCCGCCTCAGTGTTCATCCTCCCGTCCCGAAAGCAGTATCAGCTAATATCACCGTCGACAGCTTTCCCGCTAGTGGGCGTGATTTTAGCACAGCCAGCGGACACGCCCCCAGCGTTTGAGAACAGAGAATCTGCTTATTTTTTCATGATTTTAATAGCTTATTTTATCTACTTGCCGGTTTTTTTATCATTCAAATTTGGCTGGGTGGCTAATTACACATTTTTCTGTGGTGTGACAAACTCAGAACAATCAGACTAAACATTAAAAATGTATGAGCAGATTTAGCAGGAAACCAATTCCTCGTGTCAGGATTGTGCACCTGCACTGTTTACATACAGTCGTTCCTTGCATTGCCTGATTAACAGAATTTTCAACTTCTTCACTTGGTGCCACATATGAAAAAAGTCTATCTATTATCACACTATACGGAGCTCTCTTACAAAATATCACATTAATATTCAAACTTAAGTTTCTAATACATGGATTTATTTGCATTATATAATATTTGCCACAAATACAAACTGAAATTAGCATTTGCTTTGACACACATTTCAGAAGACTACTTGATTGTAATATTAACTCTGCTACATCAGTTCTTTCTTACAGCTAATGGAAATCTTTATCACAATTACTTATACACATCTCCCTTTGAGCTAACTGGTGCATAATCAATGATTTTGTGAGCCAAGGCAGGCATAAATATTCATAATTGTGCATCTCCGTGTACGGTGAACGCGAGACTTACGGCAACCCTTCTCGTCACTCTTGTCGACGCAGTCTGGAAAGCCGTCACACTGCCAACCTCCAGGAACACATTCGCCATCCCCGCACATAAAGTTTCCAGGAATGTTGCACTCCGTCGTAAAGTTATTTCCAGGAAGAAGCTGGCAATCTGAAGAAAAGAGACGACTGTATTTACAATCTTTATATTGAAGATTAAATGACTGGTGAGATTGAATTAAAATAGATGGCAGACACAGGCATCAGTTGTGTAATGCTAAATAAATGCAATGTGCTGTAGCATAGTGGTGTGTGCAAAACGGAATAACCAAACGAACCACAAAGGTAAACTTATCACATGGGTCTTGCTTCTCTTAAAGGCCCAAAGGGAAGCAGGCAGCATGTGTCGTCGATGTAAGTCATACACAAATATTATTCACTTCAGTGATCTATTTATGTATTTCAGGTTGTTGTAATCTCATGGTACAGAAAAGGGTGAAGTGTTTAAATTTGAGGCGTTCTCTCTTTCTCTCTCTTGAACGGTATCGCTCTGTTCTGGGCTAGCTTGGATAAGAGCAGGGAGAGCAGTGATAGGGAACAGAACCAACATCAATGTATTGCAGGTCTCATTAATGTTAATATTTTAATGTACAACATAATTTGAGAAATAGGGGAATCAGAATGGCCAACCCTGCCAGCTGGGGAGGGAGGAGGGTAATGAGCCCTTGAGAAACGCCACATAATACTGAGGAGCATGCAGGAGCAGATGTGCATGCCTAGTGGTTAACCTTCATCCGTGCAGGTTGTCTTCAATAATCTTTACTCTAAATATGAAGATGGCTTCCCTTCTTGAATGGAGTTCCTTCTCTGATGCGTCAGATGACCAATTTAACTGTTCCCCTGCAACAGCTAGAGATGACAGGTGGAGATTTCCTTTAATTTGGAAATACGTCATGATGATGTTGTGGTATCTTCCTCAGACTTAGAAACCAAGAAAATACAGGAAGGTTGTTTTTTTTTTTTTTCACCAAAGTCCCCCAACACAACTGACAATGGTTAATACATCTTGATGTTAGCGCCATATGTTGAGCACTACAGATCCAATCTAATGGGTGAAGCATCACTCCAACCTGGGAGCAAAATCTGATGCAACAAGCATGTTGTATAAGCAAAGACTAGCACTAAAACTAGCGTAGTCCAGTCGGGGAAGCACACAACCTGTGTCTCTGAGTCAGAGGCAGTCTGCTTCTTCATTCATGAACATGATTTCTGCTCACCTCCTATACCCCTTTTCCACCAAAAAAAGAACTGGTTCGGAACTGGTGCTGGTTCAAAGTTGGTACGGAGTTGGTTCAACTTGCGAACCGCTTCAGAACCTGTTTGTTTTTCCACTGACTAGAGCGCCCAGGGAACGACGTCGTTACGTCACTGTGTACGTCGCCATACGTCTTAGCTAGAAACGCTTGCAAATACAACATTACTTTCGGATTATCTCTAACTCGTGTACCAAGAAAGTTTTAAAACAATTGAAATATGTAAGTCTTTTAATCTTTTCGTTTGATATGTAATCTTTTCTGATAAGTTATGTGCCCCTGTAATTGTGTCTTTTTTCTTTCCATTTATTTGTTCTATATTGTGGCTGTTTTCTTCTTTGCTTATAATGTCTTCAATAAAAAAATTACAAAAATAGAAACGCTTGCGTTAACTTCAAGCATAACAATTACAAAGGCGGACTCCATCGTGTTGCTGCAAATGTTTCTCTTGGCTTTGCGATCCTTTATTATGGTCAGAAAAGATGTTTAGGACACATCTAAACCCGGCCCGGCCCAGCCCCCGACGTAAGCGTGACGCGGTAAAAGAACGGTTTTAGTCCAGCAAAGAGTTGGTGCCGCTTTGGAACCAGTTCTCCTGGCCGAGAAGCGGTTCTTTGGCTGTCGAAACACAAAGAACTGGTTCGTGCGCAGGCACCGGCTCCGAACCGGCTCTCAAAATGCTTTGGTGGAAAAGGGGCTCTACTGACTCCACACTCGACTCCCACGATTCTACACTCCTTCACGGGATCCTCAAGCTACGACAGGGTTGTGGACTCGAGTCACATGACTTGACTCAAGTCCCAAATTTGATGACTTGCGACTCGACTTTGGCAACAATGACTCGCGACTTGACTCGGGCTTGAGCCCTGTGATTGGAAAGACTTGACCTACCTTCCAAAAGCACAGATCAGAGTTGTAATAATCACTGTAGTTTAGCACTGCCTCATTGACGCATGATCACACAGCGCTGATTACACACGTTCGGCACTGAGCCAGAGAGCGCTTGATAAAGTCAGTTGCAGTTGTCATTTATCACACACTCAGACAGTTTTCAACTCAAAACACTTTTTTTTTCAGGCCTTTAAATGCACAAGTACTAGCAAACCATTTATAATCTGAGACAGAAAAGAAACACACTGATGTAGGAAGCGGAAAATAATCGGCTAAACCGTTCAAATATAAGTTTAAAACGTTTTTTTTTTTCCTCAACAAACGCACATTTTAGCCTATAGGTCACTATAAAATCTTCTGCCTGTTCACCACATGACACTTCTTGGGGCTACGTGCCTGTCACTTACAAAACGTAAATCCATCCATTCAAACTAATTTGAACTAATTTGCGATCAAAGCCGTTATCAATATGCGGGAGACTCCCCGAACGTCTGCTGATAGCGAGGAGATTAATGAAGATGCCGAAGACAAAACGCTGCAAGGTTTGGCTGCATTTCACGTGTAAGATTACGTGTCAGAACGATTGTCTGAAGCCCATATAAAATCACGATTTGCGCCGCCTTGGTGCTCACGTCGTCATATTATATTAGCGCGCGCATCATCTGCTCCTCAGAGTTCTCTGCCGAAAAAGGAAGCTTGTCAGCAGCGCGAGATATTGGGTTACACAGAGACGTTCTCTTTCATATACTCAAAGCTGCATAGCTAAGACGCAGTGGGAACAAAATATCATACTGGCTAAGAGCTTAACTAGTAAATGACCAGATAACTTACATGACTAGTTCAAGCAGACAAAACATGGGAACTTTTAGCCATGTCTCTAGGACTGACGGCGTAGCTACACCGTGGAGTTGACGCAGAAGCATGATGAGGCCACATGAGTAACGCACATTGCCAATATGATCGCATAAGCCGAGCACGAGCATTTTACTGAAAATGACTAGAAGCAACACGGATAACCTTAGCAACAAGTTTGTTGCCAATAACCTTATAGCTTTAAAGGGCACCTATTATGCCCCCTTTTTACAAGATGTAATATTGGTCTCGGGTGTCCCCAGAATGTATTTGTGAAGTTTCAACTCAAAATACCCCACAGTTAATTTATTATAACCATTTGAAAATGTCATTTTGGGGCCTGTTTAAAAATGAGCTGTTTTGGTGTATACCACCTTAAATGCAAATGAGCTGCATATCCCCGCCCTGCCTTTGGATGAGGGCGTCACTTGATACCTATGGCAGTCACTCTAAGCAGACGGGCTGAGAGATTGAGAGACCTACTGTTTTGTCTGTCATTCAGCTGTACATGTTTGAATGGGAATATATAAATAGTCTCTGATCAGACCCAGATGACGAAGAGACTCCGGCAGAATAAACACAAATGAGAATGGACCAGGACGTCTCGGTATGGTTATTTGCAGACTGATCTCATGAAGTAGCGTGTGTATGACACGCCAATTCGTATTTCCATTTTTGGCGTGCTATCAAGACGCATAATCGCCTTTCAGCGTGTTTATGAACGCCGTTGACTTAACGTTATATAAATATATGACTTACCTCAACCCCGTCCCTAAACCTAACCGTCACTGGGGTTAATGGCATTTATGACTGGAGATTTGACTGCGTGTTCAGACACGCGGAATGACGCGGACGTTAATGGCGTAGACATATACGCATACACGCGGACACACGCGGATAGCACAAAATGCGTGGAGATAACACGCCACCTGACTCGAAAGTGGCGTATATGTTTACGCAAAAGTCATGATGTCATGTTGTTATTTGATACATTTATGCACTTATAGAGTTGTAATCGCGTCCCCTTTGCAATTATGGATGTGCAACACACACACACAGACACACACAAACACTAACGCTGGCGTAATTTTTTTAAACTACATACACATTCTGTGATAAATTTTTCTACGTACAAGCGGAATTACATTTATGCGAGGGACCTGTGGCGTCATGTTTACTTGTCATACGGGTGCTTCTGTGGCCAATGTGAGGAGATGGCTAACTTGCAGAACAACAACATATGCAGTTTTTAATACAATATCTTTACAAATATATATATTTATAAACGTGTGGTTACACACTATAAAAACAAGGTTTAAATTATATACACAGACATCCTACGACGACAACAACTTTAGACGCATTTGTTGTTGAATTGGCTGACATTGACTGAAAAGAAAAAGCCACAACAACAGGATTAACCCACGACAGAACACTTATGTTTCCAAGAGACATTACCGGCTGTCGTTGAAACAGTGGAGGATGATGTATAAAGATCACCGAGGGCGGGGTCTAGGCCACAACCACACTGTCAATCAAACCCCTCGCTCAATTCTACGACACAAAGAGCTGAATCTCAGAACAGCTCGTTCTGAGACGGTGCATATGATTTATTGAGATTTGCACAATATGACACATTTGAAAAGCTCCGGGAGTCAGCTGTACATCCAGGATAACCTCACAAAAACACACAGCAAAAAAGTATCTAACGACATAAAGCTGTCACTAATTACATCTCAAAAGATGGTTCCAATTCGAGAAGTTGAGAGAGAGAGAGTTTCAAGCACCTTTTGAATACTTTAGACTAGGGCCATCAGTTAAACGCGTTATTAACGGTGTTAACGCAAACCCATTTTAACAGCATACATTTTTTTATTGCGCGATTAACGGTCTTTTTGGCCTAGCAAACTTTGTAGTTTTCTTTCACATGCTTTTGCAACAGGACGCGGCATGTGCGCTGCACTCTGAAACCCATTCATTTCAATGGTTTGTGCCACACAAGGACGTCTTGTTGCTTCGAGCTATCATCATCGCGATCGCAGCACGTCCAGTCTGAAATACCGCTTGATGATAGCACACACACACACACACAGCTGATGCGAATTCTCCACCCCCTCGTCAATATCAGGACCTCGTCAGTATTTCTTTCACCCTTTTATTGATGGACAGTGTTGCATTGTGTGAGAGATTATTTGCTCCAAGTGAGAATGTTAGTGTGAAATTGAACACAGTATATACCAAATATGTTGTTTTCAATAAAAAACATTTGCACAAAGCAAGCCGATCCACTTTTCCATGTTGATAAGAGCATTAAAATGAGAAAATAATAATGGGACAAAAAGAAGTCAAGAGACATTGAGAATAGATAAAAATGTGTGATTAATTGTGATTAATCGCGAGTTAGCTATGACATTAATGCGATTAATCGCGATTAAATATTTTAATCGTTTGACAGCACTACTTTAGACCCAAGAAACGCATTACAGCATGCAAAATCAAATAATGTCAAAATCAAATAATGGGACAAAAAGAAGTCAATGGACATTTAGAATAGATAAAAATGTGTGATTAATTGTGATTAATTTTAATGACATTAATGCGATTAATCGCGATTAAATATTTTAATCGTTTGACATAGGGGTGTAACGGTACACAAAAATCACGGTTCGGTACGTACCTCGGTTTTAAAGTCACGGTTCGGTATGTTTTCGATACAGCAAAAAGAAAGAAATGCCAGAGAAATTTCCTATTTGTTTAAAGAAAAAATATTTTTAAATAAGTGTGTGTTTTCCTCGATCTTGAAACTTTCAGGTTTATAAATGGGGGTCATCTTTGAAGGATGAACAAATAATGTTTTGGTCATCACATTAAAAATAACTTTTAAAAATATATTTATTATTTATATAATATTTGAATTTTGAAGTGCTGGAAAAAGATGTGTGAAGTACTTGAAAGCATTTCACCATTCCAGCCAAACTGGTTCCAGTTAGTGTTACTATATTAAATCCATGGTGAATGTTGCTGGTCTGTGGACGAAAGTATTACTAGTTCATTCACGGCACAATGTTTCTCCTGGTTTCCATGACAGCGCTGTTTGATCTAATAGAGATCTACGGTTAATAACGGAGAAATGTGAATGCATCTCACTAGATCTCGCGGCGATGTTATTACCTCAGTGGCGAATTCAAATGTTTTCTTTACCGGATCTCTTAGCGCTGTAGTAACAGTGTCGCTTGGTCGAGATCGGCTCGCGCTGCACAGATGTTGCTGGTCCGAACTGATAAACCATCCGTGAAGCACATAACGAGTAGCGCAGTTTCGTTCTGCTTTCATTACGCTTGCCATTTGATGTTGTGTTGGCCGCGTCAGCACGAATTTTGCCGGCAGGAAAAATGGTCCAAGCAATCTTCGGTTTGTATGCGTACCGAACCGGAAGCCTCGAACCGAAAAGGTTCAATACGAATACATGTACCGTTACACCCCTAGTTTGACAGCACTACTTTAGACCCAAGAAACGCATTACAGCATGCAAAATCAAATAATGTCAAAATCAAATAATGGGACAAAAAGAAGTCAATGGACATTTAGAATAGATAAAAATGTGCGATTAATTGTGATTAATCACGAGTTAACTATAACATTAATGCGATTAATCGCGATTAAATATTTGAATCGTTTGACAGCACTACTTTAGACCCAAGAAACGGCCTGGACAGAAATCTTTCAGTCAAACGGCTCTGCATAAATTGTTCAATTCATGTCACCAAACTCTGGCCAATTAACCGCGGAAGGTTTCACATTTTGCCACAACAACTGACATATGGTCCAGCAGAGCATCCGAGCCATCGCTCTCCTTGGTCATCGACGACACTCACTCGGACACTGCAAACATCCCCCATCCCAGATGAGCACACCGTGACATCATCGGCCAAGCTCTGAGAGATGCGCTGATGTCCTGGACAGGACCGACAGCAGGACTACAGATTCAGTGGAAGAGGCGTTTTACAGGCATCATGAACTGCATGATTTAACTGTATCATGTTTCCTGAGGCACACACTGTAATGCTACTAGTATTTTTACAAAAAATACTGTCATAATAATTTAGAGCGGGCCATTTTCTACCATGACTTTATCTCTCTGATTTACGCGCTGATTAAAGGGGCGTGTCTCTTTAACACTTAATGCAAATGCCAACTGCTATTGGCTAACATGCATACAAGGTATTACATGTGTAAGGTTTTTTACTTCATTTGAAATGTTTAACTATTAAAGATGCCGAGATTAACTAATTCTATAGAGTGTGGATTATAGCATTTGATTATCCAGTTATACATTCGTCCCAAAGCCACATGACTTTTTTTGAAGTGCATCAAGGAATTCCATCGTAGTTTATGCGATGTAGTAGTTTATCCAACTCAAACAAGCGCGTATGTTTTTTATGCACATTTTTTAGAATTTATGTGCATCTTGGCATTTCCATCCAGCAGTTATTCATGCAATATCCCAAAGTGCACATAAAAATAGGTGGATGAAACAGTTAATTTGAGGACCAAATGGATTTATGAGGTTTAGTCACAAGCTCTTTTTAAATGTCTCATTGGTTAAATATTTGTAAAACCCATAGACAGAAATAAAGGGATAACAATACAATGATTTAGGGGAAAAAATTACAAAATATGTAAATACAATGTTTCTGACCAATATTTAAAATTGCGTTCATTTAGATAATTGTCTTGCAGAGTTTTAGCATTAGAGTGAAATAATAAAATAATAATAAACATATATATATATATTCTCCTCAATGTAATTGTCATAAGCATATGCCTATGCATAGAAACGGCACTGTGTACATGTATTTTCATGCATTTCTGTAATTTTATTTGCAATATTTACTTGCCTAGGGACTGCAGAAGGAAATTAACAAGTAAATCTGCAGCAAAGCATCTCTTGTGAGATAATACTTAGGCCTATATGCATAGTCCCTGACAAATAAATGTGAAATAATAATTCCTCTTACTTTATTGATTTAAAATCCATTTGGTTCATCTGAGTTATCTCAGTGGGCTTTAAAAGTTCTGCCACTTCCTGCTGATCGATTAATGAAATGTAACACTGCATATCAGACGCATGTGAAGTGTGTTGTGAATTGAGAAATCATGCATGTAAAAGGTAATGTTTGCATATAAAGAGCCAGATCGGGTTGGAAAGCTTGCTTGTCTCGGAAATCTCTTTCATGATACGGGCTGTCCAGCTAAACACACAGCAACTTTGAGAAGAAAAGAGTACAAAGCCAAAATATTTCAAACATAAAATTGATCTAGATCTGTCAGACCATTTAAAAGACTTCTGCCCCAATAAAACCATTCTAATTCATGTTGCTCGAGTTTAGGCACAAGAAGCTGGTGATGTTTGCAACTTAGCAAATTTAACCCAAATGCTGTTATCAAAATCTAAAAAAAGAAAATCTACTCTTTTTAGTCTATTTGATTAGCCTAAATAGTCAGAAGGCTATTGTTTATCTGGCCAAAGGTGTTCATCAGGTGACCTTCAGCAGACACACACACACACACACGCACACACACTCGACACACTAGATCTCATACTGTTTTGAACATTATTCCCGCAACGTCATGATCGTGTGATGTTGATGAGTATGGTAGGATTGTCAATAAAGATATCCATAATGCCTATTTCATACAAATGAACACTAAAACGGTTTTATTTATAAATGTTTTAGCTGCACGAGCTCATTACTCTGCGCATACCAACTCTTGCGTTCACCCAGTAAATCACAAACTCTCTCTGGTTCACATAACGAACCGTTTAAAAGGAAAACAAATCCCCGGGAGCGAGCAGCGCGTGCACATTCATGCCGGCTTCACTAACCCGTTACTTAAAGTTACAAAAGTTATAAGCTTCCACATAATAAAGTGCGTTTGTAGAAGAAATGCAACAGCTGCGATGACTGAGCACTGCTCAAACACTACAACAACTGCTGTAATGGCGCTACCGGAGGACATTCAGAGAAACAATGGATGAAGCCTGACGTGTAGCGACTCACCGACTGATCCCGAACCCGAACCGAGCAGAAAGTACCAAACCCACATCGTTCCCCGACGGACCGGCCCGCAGCGGGGCAGCAGCTCGCTGGATCTACCGCGCTAAGCCTTCAGTGTGTGTCAGTGTGTGTGTGGTCGGGACAGCCCTGAATCACTGTGGAAGAAGGGAAGAGGAGGAAGAGGAGGAGGAGAAGGAGGAGGACATGCTGGAGTGGAGCAGCAGAAAGGCGGAGACATGGCCGAGGAGGACCTCTAAACTCATATACAGACATCAATAGTATTATACTGAGTTTTCTCTTTAAAAAAACATTACTGTGGACTCTAAAAGAAATATTAGAGAGATTCACACTTTATATTAGGTGCTTTCACTACTAGCATAGCCTAAAGAAAATAAATAAATAAATAAGTTAAATGTACTTATTGTGTTGACGTAGGCCTACTGTAAATCACGGTCTGAATGTTGAGGATACGTTAATATTAGCACAGGTTTAGGACTCTCTTCCTTCATTAATGAATAACTACACAGGAACAAATGAGTAACGCACTATTAACATTCTAGCTGCTATTACTAACAAGAAACTCATGAAATTAGTAAGTAATAGCGCTCATTATGGTAGTTCGTTCATGATTAACTAATCAGTTACTATACTTTTTCATACCTCACTGCATGAAAACTAAGAACTACATGCAGGTTCATAATTAATATAATACATAATATAAGGTAATGCTAAACCATTTGTAATGACTGACTAAAGTGTTACTACATCCACTGACATGATCACATATTGTCTTCTGTTCTGTACACAGGGATAACATGATTGTGAAATTGGTCTGACAATTGTCTATTTTAGTGCTCAGTCATACTTTTTGTGTGTTTCTTTCATTATAAAAAAATTGTCACAATTTGTTGTGATTAAATTAATAACTGAACTTGCACTGTAAAACCACAGTTAACACCTTTAAATATAGAAGTAGTTGATACAAACACACTCTCTCTCACACACACACACACACGCATAGAACTAAACTGAACAGTGAACTGAATTGAGCTGAATAATGGCACTATTGTCTTCTGTAGAGCTGCGTCACAGCTTACATTTAATTTGTAACATTTGTTGAATCTGCTTGTTGTGAAGCTGCTTTGAATCAATCTGTATTGCATGGGCTATAGAAATACATGAGATTTGACTCAAATAATATCCATCTGCAGAGCTGCACGTCACATAATTAGAAAAATGACATGGAGTGAGGCTAGATAGAGAAAAATTGTATTAAAAAAGATCACAAGGTGGCGCTATAACAAGCACATTTATTTATTTATTTGCTAATAACCTTGCATATGCTAGACTTAACATTAACAACTGAGTAGTTGGAACTCATCGAATTGTAATGGTGTGTGCATCCGCTTCAGTATTTATACCCTCGCTGCGGGGCGTGGATACAAATCTCGCACGCCAATGTGCATTGGCTCATTTTACCAATACTCATGTGATTCTAATCAGTACTGTACGTCCGACTCACGTTGAATGTGACCGAACTGGAAGGGAACTGAATCTTTCCACACTGCTTTTCTGAGTTTAACTCACATTCATGAACTCCATAAGTGTGAAATAGTTAAAATCACTTGTTAGCCAAGCATTATACTGATACAGAGGTCACTGTGTTCCTAATATCAAAGACCATATCTGGGTTACGTAATCAGATTACTTCTTTTCAATTAACACATAACTTTCAAATAATTTACAACAAAATATCTACTTTAACAAATAAGTAACACAAGTTACTTTGTTTTCCCATGTATTGACTGACAGCGCTCTCTTCACCATGTTGAGAGAATCGTAAGTGCAGAGATGCATTAAATACTTTTTATGCAATTCATTTCACTTTAACCAATGTCTTTGCTGCTGACCTTCGATGACGCAAATCAAAAAAACGAATAAACAAAAATGACTTTAGATACACATCACACTTGAGTATAAGTTTTATTGTTACCATGCTAAAGAGTAAGAGTGTTAAACTTTCTTCTCCTGCGTCCTGTTCTTCTGTGGTCCAGATTGGCAGAACGGCTGAGATGTTTGAGCGGCAGGGCTGTACTTCGGTGAATTTGTGTTTCCTTCAGTCTTATTCATTTTCCTTTTGATGTGAACGGGCCTTTACATTTGCTGCCAAAAATATCCTTTTTTTTTCTTACTAAAAACAAGCAAGCCAAAGTAAGAAAAGGTAATACAAAATGCATTCCTTCCCATAAAAGCATGAAAAAAAAGTAACTAAAACTTTTAGGAAGTAAAGGCAGTGTTCAAGAATCCATTACTTATAAATGTAACTTTCCCCAACACTGACCATTATCAAATATATAACCTCATGTTTTCCCAAACCAAAGCATTGTATAGTTATCAAAAAAAAAACTAAATATATATTTAAAACTGGTGAGGAAAATGTACACAAGGCTGATTCCAGACCCAACATACTAATATCCAAACTTAAGAAATGGTTTTCCAGCAGGTTACGATCAGGGTTGAAATATATTTGGTATACTGGGAATCAGTGACCCAGGTAAATGTGCATTTCATTCTGATAAAGAAAAGGTAGCCAACAAATGGACTAAAACTAAAAGCATCAAACAATGAACAGCTAGACCAAATTTATAATCCTCTACGTTTAAAGTCAAATCTAAGTATAGCATGATGATGTGAAGGTAAGAGACCGGATTTCATTAATCAAACCAGTGTGGAATCTGAATAATTATAAATAAAAGGTTTTACAGCATTCTATCAAATGACAAAATACAATATGTCTTGTAAAATGTTGTTTCCACTTTCTTCCTGCATTTCCATTTTTCAGACTTTAGAAAGAAAGTGCTTCAAGACAAAGCTATTTTGAAATAAGTGGTTAAAACTAAAGAAATATGATCAGCACAGTTACATTCAGTGATAGTCATAGCTTTTTATCCCGATAAGTTTGGAATGAAGGGAGAAAGCAAAAGTTTTAGCCATTAGTTTTAGGGTGTATTTCCAATATATGCGTCTCCTCTCTCTTCATCTCCAGAAGGACCTTCCACATCCCTCCTATGATTGGCTGCTCTGTAAGAGGAAGGAAGATTAATGAATTATACATTTACATTCGAACATTTGCAAAATACAGAAACCGGCACAGGAATTTAAAACTTGGAGGTCAATTAAATATACAGAAGTAATAGTGACACAGGGCACTGTTTTAAAACTGGTACATCCACACTTTTATAATCTAGATGTTGATTTCTGGGTGCCACATCCCCGCATGAAGCCGGTATTATACAAGTCAGGGATTCATGTGGAGAACCGGGACTGACTTATCGGATTGTCAATCCTGTGGACTCTGATGAGATAATAGTATGCGGTCTTATACACTGCCTGTGTCTCCTCTGTTGCCAAGACTGACTCCCTGCCAAAATCCTCTTCTCTGGAGTGTCTCTGAAGTATCTCTGGTGTTCCCCAGGATCTGGAGGGGAAGTTCTGAGTACATCATTTGAGAGACTAAAATTTGGGACATCAGTATTTCTAAAAGCCTCCATCTGGCCCCATCCACATCCACTGTAACCGTCGTCACTCCCTCCTCAGTTAGTATGCAACCAAATAATGTTCAGCTATTGGTATATTGTCAACAAACCACGGCTACAATCAGCATCAATGACCAGTTTATTATTTAAAATAGAAATGTATAAGAGTACCTGGCAGTTACTGAAACAACAGATCATTTCAAACGCCTTACCTTAGTCTCAAATCAGGAATCTGAAAAACAGAGCAAGGAAAAGAAGTTATTCATTTGTTCTTCTGCTTTATCATACACCACCAGTGGTTTCTGGAGAGACTGTTACCGTTGGTTGCTGGCTACACTTACATTTATCCATTCGGCAGATGCTTTTAAGAGAACTGACTTACAAACACAGGCAGATGTGTTAGATTAAACTCTGCAGGAAACTACGTCAATAGCCGTATTTCCACTGGAATTATCCTGAACAATTTGTCCCAGGAACTTTTCTCCCCTCTGCGTTTCCACCAGTCTAAAGTACTGTGAAGATTAGGCAAATCAGTCTGGTTGTGTAGGACTGCACCGCAACAGATTTTTAAAAATGGTGGTTGAAATGAAATGCTGTCATCTCATCAATATCCGGCATGAACTCCACCAATCAGCATGTTCAGAGCTCATGTCCCAACCCCGAAAGCTCCTGAACTTTGGTTCTCGCAAACAGGGACTTTCTGGGACGTGGCTAATGCAAAGGATGGTAGAAACAGAAAGCTGAAATCGTCTATGCCTTTACCTAGTCCTCGATCTTAAGGACTTAGTAACTAAAACAACCACCAGTTGGACTGCAAAGCAAACCTCTTTGACAACCTCATCAAGCAACATGGAATGGACCTTATAGACAATTATTGCTTTCACCGTTTGATCAATGTCCTTTAACATTACAATACATTGACTGTCAAATATGTCTGCTGTGATTCCATATCTGAAATGTGATTTGTTCTTGTGTTCCTGCAGATCGTACCTTGAATGCATGGTAAGTTGCTTTGGATAAAAGCATATGCCAAATGTGTTTCAGTATTATTATAAATGTACTTATCTAAGTTAACCAGTCCAAACCTCTTCATGCATTATTACTGTTTTTTTCTTTCAGGGAAGCTTCTTCAAATAATGTGTGATATGAGAAGCTTGACTAACCAGTGGTCTGGGCTCCAGCAGAGCTTCAGGTGCCGGTGCCGGTGCGTTGGCCAACAGCGGGGCGAGGGACATCGGCGCGACCCCGTCCTGCTCCATCTGATCCAGGTCGCTCAGCTGCTGTGTGATGGAGTCCATTTCCTCCTGAAGCTTCTCCGTGTGGACACTGATCTCAGAGATCTTCTCGGCGGCCTGGGCAGTGAGGAAAGCCTCCTTTAGATCCACCAGGTGCAGGACACGCCACTCCTCCAGCCGGACCAGCCGGTGCAGCTCGTCAAACTGATCGTTCACAAACCGCTCCAGCTCGTCCGCACCCATCTACGGACAGCCAAGCAGTGGAGGTGTGCTATAGACTATATTGATTTTTATATTGTATGCTTATATATTGCATATTGCACACGACGGCAGTCCAGAGACATCTGAGTCTCTGAAATAGTCTTTTAATGATGGAGTTCATCTGGACTAAAGAGATGCATAAATAACTTGCATTTCATGACAACATCTATAATTTTGCAGCATGTGTGGAAGTTGAAGGCAATAATGGGGTTAGTGTGACTCACGTCTGGGCTGATCCACTTGTTCTTGATCCTGTCTGATATTTCCTGCGTGCGCTCCAGCAGGTCGATGCCTTCTCTGCTCTGGAACACAAACAAACACGAACATGTCAACAGTGCTGTCCACCGTCTCTCTGATGACATCACACACATGAACATGTCAACAGTGCTGTCCACCGTCTCTCTGATGACATCACACACATGAACATGTCAACAGTGCTGTCCACCGTCTCTCTGATGACATCACACACATGAACATGTCAACACTGCTGTCCACCGTCTCTCTGATGTCATCACACACATGAACATGTCAACACTGCTGTCCACCGTCTCTCTGATGACATCACACACATGAACATGTCAACAGTGCTGTCCACCGTCTCTCTGATGACATCACACACATGAACATGTCAACACTGCTGTCCACCGTCTCTCTGATGACATCACACACATGAACATGTCAACACTGCTGTCCACCGTCTCTCTGATGTCATCACACACATGAACATGTCAACACTGCTGTCCACCGTCTCTCTGATGTCATCACACACATGAACATGTCAACAGTGCTGTCCACCGTCTCTCTGAGGGCATCTGGCTCCCTCTGCTGGTCTGTCCTCAACACTGACTCATTCCCTGCACACTTGTGCTCGGCTTCGGCGTCTACAATTTGAGGATTCTTTTTTTTCCCGATTTATTTTGCATAAATACATGAATTTAAGCACAAAACACAGATTCGGACGGACAGTCTGAACGAAGCCAGAGTTTTGGAACAATGTGTCCTAAATATAACCAGTGCTGTGTGTGTGTGATTTATAAGGACAGAAAGGAGTATTATGACATGGGTATTACACTGGTATTACAACGTGAACGTGATTTCTGAGAACATTTCCTGAGTCTTCGTATTCCAAATGGCTTTTAAAACATACTAAACAGTGTTTTATTAATACATAAAGCTTTCTGTGATGGGTAGGTTTAGGGGGAAGGGGACAGAATATACAGTTTGTACAGTATGAAAACCATTACGCCTATGAAATGGCCTCACAAGTATATAAAAAAATGTGTGTGTGTGTGTTGACGTACCTTCTGCCACAGGTAGGCCTCTCTGAGAGTGATAATCTCATGTTCTCTGTGCTCTCCCTGCACAGCACACACCACACAGATGACCCGCTGGTCTTGTTTACAGTAGAGCGAACCCTCCTGATCATGTTCTTTACATTTCAGCCTCTCCACTGTCACAGTCTCTCTTTTCCCGGCTCCGGAGTGGCTCTGGAGCTCATGCGGCGCGGCGGCTCCCTGTGCGGCGCGGTCGGGCTCCGGCTGAGGCTCGGGGGTGCCGTACGCCTGCAGGGGGTGACCCGTGCTCAGGGAGTGGCTGTCTGCATGGCTGCCGCAGAAGGCGAAGCGGCAGCGACTGCAAACCCACACCGCTGGCTGAGGCTCGTCCGGTTCACACGCATCGCATGTGCCGTCCATCTGCGGCAGGTCCTCCTCCTTCAGACAGATCCTGTTTCCTCCTGAGGCATCCATGACCGTCAGGGGGAGACGCTAACACGATGAGAGGGACTTTCAGGGTGGAAGCCTAAAAGTGGGCAGAGTTCAAATGATTGGCATTAATGCCGAGTTTCAGGTAGCATTCACACTGAACGATAGATCGCCGACAAGAGGCTTTACAGTAGGAAGAGATACTGAAATAAAGCAAGATCAAGCGTGTGTGAGACTGGAATAGTTATTATTATTAATGATAGCCTGCATGAAACTTGCGATCCAATTTGCCTGTGTGCTGAAGAGGGTGGTAGGGGTGGTGATGGCGCAGTGGATAAGACGGGCAACAGTTTGGATTTTATGTCATTAGCAATCTTGACAGGAACCAGAATCAAGCGTCACGATAGTCAAGCTCGCATCAGTGACTCTCGGCTGATCCTCGTCTACTACAGGAATACGACTCTATCACTGTATACATATATAAGCTCCTTCAGTATTATCAGCAGCTGTGGCGTTTCTCAGGAGCGATTACCCTCCTCCTGTCTCAGGCAGGGTTTGGCATTTGATTGCCCTTGAATCAGAATAAATTCTCTAATGATGTTGTACTTTAAAATCTTGAATGATTGATATCTGCATAAATTGATGTTGGTTGTGTAGTGTTTCGCCTAAGGGGGGTTATCGCTGTGCTCGGCTGACTGGATGCGCAGGGAGTTTTTTCTTTCTCGCCTCTGTCACCTTTGCACATATTTTTGGGTATGTGACAAAAAACTTTGACCTTTTTATGCTAATTAAGATCTGTCTACATACCCTTAATAAATCCTCATACATTTTTATTAATATCAAAATATGAATTACTGATCTTTTTAATTAAAGCAGCATTCTGTTATTTTTTAATTGTGCTCTCGGGGTCCCCCTACAGTTGGGAAACAGTATTGTCTTCTATTACTGTTGTAAAATCTGTCATGGTTACACCAGGGAATACACGCGTGCATTTGTTGACAAGCGATCCCCGAACTCTGCAGAGGAAGGAGTTCTCGCATCGTGGGCCGACTCCAGTGTTGCGTGTGAAATATCTTCATCACAGGTACATTGGCATATATTTCAGCATGTCATATGAATATAGTGTCATGGGCTTTATTTTTTTCAACCGTCAAAAGATCGCGTAGCTCACGTTTACAAGCCAGCGTCTTTATAGTAACGTTAGCCTATTGGCTACTGTTTTACATAATGGATATGCTAATTCAATGTTTGTGTGGTAGATAGTAGCCATGTCGTCAATATTATAATATCAAGCTATCATAGATGAATCTGCAAATTTGAAAAATCGTTTTGCATTTTAGCCAAGACACTTTCACCAGAAAAATAAATATAACTATCAGCCTGCAGACATAGGATAGTTATCCTGACCGATTATTTTGTCCGTCTAATCATGTATTATTTACTTGCAAGAACGTAGCCCCTTCCAAACTCGGTAATCAGTATACTTTCACGTCTCGAGCTGCCCGCCCCGGCTCTACGGGGATGCTTGAGTGTGTTAAGCGCCCTCAAAAGAAAGCAATGCAGTCTACACTGGATACAGCGAGGTGCGAAGCTACTCAACACATTACCAACAGTAATCTGATCACGCGTGCGCTCTGTTTCTGACGCACTTCACGTTAGTTACGTTTTTGTGGAGTAGTATTACAAATAAATATTTTTAAAATACTATTAGTATTAAAAATCCACTCATTCACTCATTTTGTAGTACCCCAAAAATGTCTCCTTTAGGAGTGAGGACCTCTTGGATCGGTCGGGCACCCCTCCTCCTCCTATGGCTCACGCCAGCGAGCGAACGCTGCACCAATATTGATCCTCGTCCAGCCTTTTATTTAGTCACTCTCCCTTTTCTCTTTCTACTGTCCTCCGACAAAACTTTTGGCTTCTTGGTTTTACTTGCAGCTTCAGCAATGACAAAATACAGAGGGAAAAAAACGTTCGTTGGGCTCTCGCGTCTGAATCTGAGGAAGTGGGGGAAGTGGCGTATGCTGTAAAGCAGTCGAATTTTGTAGTTCTTTTTGTGGTCGGGTTCCTACCCCCTCCCCGAAGTTACAGAGCGCCAGTAAAAGCGATACAGGCTATGACAGACCTGTCATTCAACCTATTGTAAGTCGATGTACCATCTCAAGGGTTTTGGAAATATACTATAAACGTTGAAAAAGTTACATACTGCTGCTTTAATTGAATTTGTATATTATTAATTATATTACTTATACTGTATAAAAATAAAATTTGTGTTGTTGTGCACCTATACAAATGACAAACAATTTAAATTCACTTGCATTGACTCTTGCAATCTCATATTCACACATTTGGCTGTAAACATCACACTTTCATGAGCACATGTTGTTTCTAAAGCAATCATAAGCTCACTATCAAACCTTGAGTTGATAGAGATGTTCATAGCAAGTGTTGAGAGAATGCTGAATTGCAAGTTGCTTGGATCTGTTTGGTTTGGTCAACTCAGAACTAACCCTGTCAAACAGGCTTCAGAAAAACAGCAGGTTAGTTGTTAGCTGCAAGTTAGCCGTTTAGCATACAATACTACTCAAATATTTGCGGTCAGCAAGACTTTTATAAAGAAACTACTGCTTTTATTCAGTATAATAGCAGTTAGGACTTTGTATTTTATTAGGCAAGGTCATAAAGTCCCAGTCCTAGCTGTAGGCACTTAGCAAAGCAGCTTCTCATTCCCCTATAGGACAGCAGAGTCTTGCTGAAACACACAATGAGGAAGTTCAGGAGTCAACCATTAACAACCTCACAGAGAATTACACAAAAGCTTCCCGCTCCTAACATGTAGCTTCAGCGGGCACAGCATGAGAAGGACAGCTATTGTCTTCTGTTTTCTTCAGTCTTACCTCTGTCTTACTGAAGTGGACACTGTCTCCTTTGTGTCTGTGCTGCAGACGTACGACTCGCTGTGACGCTGCTGATGATTTTCTCCCCTTTGTTTTGTTAATTTTACTTATATTCTTTCCGACTGCCCTGTTTTCACCAAGCTGTAACACAATACATGATCTCAGACTTCTGCTGCTGCTCACTGCCTGCACTTCCTTGTTTTGCTTTGTTTTTTTTTTTTTTTTACTACTTCCTGTTTCTCTAAAACAGCTGAAAGACAGAGACCAACAACAGCAGACGGAGAGGGAGGACAAAAACCATGGAAGGATACTCGGCTCTCTAAATATTTGTTGTTATTTAGTTTATTTAATGTTGGATTTTTGTTGTTTTGATTACAAAATGGTTGCTTGGCTCTCTCTCTCTCTCTCTCTCTCTCTGTGACTGCTGGGAGTAGGCGGAGCATTGTGAGTGTGAGGCTCAGTGGCTTCAACTTCATGTTGTGCTCTCAAGTTACCATGAAATTAAAATGGTCAAGTCTAGTTTTTTTTTTTTTTTTTTTTTTTTTTTTTTCATGGAAAATTGCAGTATTTCTTAAAAATGTTGTTTCTGGTTGATTTGAATCAGAATCATTTATAAGGAATAACAGGGAAGACATTTATTTTCACTATTAGGATAACCACTCTTGGGTGGAAGTCAACATTAGTACAACACTTAGTACAACACTCAATTTTTCAGGATTCCATTTGAATGGTTAAATGTTAGCAATCAAATGATTAAACTTATGCAATTCAACATAAATTTATTAAAAGCACCCGATAAAATTATGTTTTATTTTCCCAAATTCAGGGTGTTTTCTTTTTTCTTTTCCACAGGCCCTATGAAACATTTGCAGATAAAAATGAATATTTACAAAGTTGTTATGTCACAAACACAACTGGCATTCATTTGTAAATTGCTTTCTGTGCATTTGTTGATCTCCGCACACATTTGTATATTTTAAAAACAATTCTAGTGTCAGGAAGTACTGACAAATTTACAAATAAGTGGACTGCACCAACCGAAGCACAATCATCTGAAATGAAGAAAATCTGAAATGAACAAAATCGAACAACAAAATGTGGTTGTTCTGAAACACCTCATTCAAGTTTTGCGCACAAGTTATATTCGCAACATTGGATTGAAACTAGCTATTGATGGCCTGTGAGATGAAGGGGCGATTCTAGGATTACAATATTAGGGTCTAATAAGGGTATGATTTAAAAAAAATTAATTTTATATATTCTTTGGATACAAGGGTAGGCATTAACAATACAGTTGGTTCTAAACTACCCATCAAGTCAGTCCCTGAAAATTGAATTAATTTTTAATCATTTAAAATAACCAGCTAGGGACCGCCACATTATTTGCGCTCTCTGCCTGGGCCAGGAACACGCTGCTCTTGCCCTCTCTTCCAGAGGATGTGAGCATTGCGAGGAGCTTCCGATGTCGACCTTGCGGGCTCGACTCGAAGCATTCCAAGATAAAGCTGTCTCTCCACCCTTTGTTGGACAGAAACGCCGTTCTCAAAGGCCGCCGGAGCCTGTGGCCGCCGCGACACGCTCCCTCCCACGGTCCCTCCCTCGAGCCACGCCCTCGCCTTCTCCGCCTCTTCAACTTTTGAGAAAACTTTTACTCTTAACTTTTTTAAATGCAACACGAAGAACATATTAAATTACATTTAAAATAGTTACAAAATAGATGTGTGAGATGATAAAAACGTATGCCATTAATTGTACCCAGCATATATGTAAAATGTTACCTGAGAGATAAAAAGAGTGGGAGAGAGAGTGTACAGAGTAAGAGAGAAAGAAAAGATCCAGAGCAACAGCTCCAATCAGCGCACAGACCAACTGCAGGTTGCTAAATCTGACACAGAGACACTGAGGCATCATAAACCCTAAATCCAGCATAGAGGGGTTCAGTGAATGTGGTGTGTAATGTGTCTATGTGTGTGAGTGTGTTTGTGCCAGAGATGCTGTAGAAGGACAGAGTGCCGGATGGCCAGTCCAGATACACTCCTACTCTGTTAGACGGTGGTGAGGGGGAAGAAATGTTTTTGCTCGTGTTATTGTGCCAGACAGTAAATCCATTGGCAGTGCAGTACAGACTCCAGGATTTGTCACTGTATCCAAACCAACAGTCATTCCCTCCTTTCCTGCTAATTCCTTTACACGCCACGGCTACGCCAGCCCCCTTCCCACTCCATTCAGCCTCCCAGTAACAGCGCTCAGTCAGACTCTCCCCACACAGAACCTGCTCATAGTTCTCGAATCTCTCTGGATGATCGGGGTATGACTCTGGGTCTTTGGTGTGTGTCACCCTTTTCTTCTCCTCACACAGAGAAAGTTTAACATGTGCTGTGTTTGGATCCAGTTTGAGATCACAGGCGTCTGAACACAAGAAAACACAAGAAGAAGATTACAAGTCGTGTGTAGAGCAGTGCAAGTGTGTGTGCGTGTAGAAGACAAACTAAACAAGTTTCACAAACATTTGATGAACAGAAATCGGGGGGAGGATATATCAAAAGTAGCACTCAGTATCTGGTGTGTCCAGGGGAGCTTTACGCCCTACAGAGCATCAGATTGGCCAGTTCTAGCGGTGAGATTTCACCTCACTCTTCACCAAGGCACTCGCAACACGTCTGGGGGGACACGTGGGTTGACCCTTCAAGGATGATTAGCTGTCCTTCTGTCTCCCTGCAGCACTATGTTAAGTGTTTTACAGTACACACACTGCAGTTTATTGCTCTGTTCTCATCTGCAGTCCTCATGACTCCTGAAGCAGGTCTTTGGCATCTTCACACAGGTGATCAGGGGCCATGGGTATCTTGGCTCAGAGTCAGAGTCAGTGGAAAGGTCTCTTTAAAATTATTGGAATTGTAACACAATTATTTCTGTAGTCTTCCAAAGGTCCATGTGCAATAAACTTTGTTTAAATCATTTCCAATAAAGACCTAAAAGCTAATTTGGATTTTACTAAATTATCTTTAAAATACAGAATCATACAATGGGATGTTTATTTTTTTTTTGCTGAGTTGTATATATTACTTTATAATATATTATATTTATATACATCTTTTATATTTAAAGTGAGGGTTATGTTTAGAGGTCGGGGTTGAGTTAGGGCATATTAAAATAAAACCACCTGATGATAAACAATAGAACAATTATTCCAATAGTCAAACAATTGGAATGAGATGTCTTCAATAATATAGTCATTAACAAGTGTGTGTGTGTGGGTGTGTGGGTGTGTGTGAAAGAGAAAAGTCCTACATTTTCTCAGTCCTTGTTGAATTCTGAAATGTTCTCCATGATCCAAACTAGAAAGAGACGTACAATGTTAGTGAGAACTTCAAAATAAATTAGTATTTCTCAATATGAGGTATTCAAAAATGGAGCCAAATACAGAATTATTTTGGGAATACAACGTGGCATGAGATCAAAGCACAAAGAGACGGAGGTCAACAACAATAAACTCTAGTGTCACACATGTGTTTGTATCAACACACACAAAGAAGATGATGTAGGTAATATTTAACAATTTAATATTGTTTCTGCATGGTTATTGAAAAAAACTAAAAATTAAAGTTTCTGAAATATGTGTCACAAAACACATACTAAATGTGTGTCCACAAGACTTTTGACTAATGGATGTTGTCGCCTAGAGTTTCTACTTAAATGATCTGAAAATCATCCTGCCTAATCATTCACATAAAACAATACATTGATTGCAAATTGCATGCAAATTGTATAATTTTCAAGGTAAACATTTCTAGTAACTATGCAGTTAATTCTCATACTTTATTTTCAGAAAGTTTCGGAATATATCCTCTCCCCAAATGTGTCACTAATAAAAAACAATAATATATAATTTAATGAGAAGGCTTATATTGGCCTATTGAGATGTTTCTTACATCTACTTTGTACATATTTTTTTTTTTTTTTGCTATTTATTAAAAAGTTTTCTCACTTCAATCAACAACAATTACAATTTTAACAATATTTCAAGTGTAATTTTTCTTTGTAAAAAGTATGCATTTTATCATACGTATTTCAAAGTTAAGGATTTATTCATTTGAATGTTGGAACAAACACTATAAAAACATCTTAGTTGATAATTCAATATACTTTATTTATGCCAAAACATCCCATACTATATATTTAACATATGAGCAGAAATTGGTGAACAAAAGCTTATTTGATGTGACTGTAGTCTTTTTTACAGTAAGACCTATCTATCCAAAACTAATCAACGAAATCTTGTCTAAACATTCATATTTCGTCTGTTAAATATTCGTCTGTTTTTATGATATATTAGCAAATAAATGTTATTTACAGTTTAATACGTTGCTTATATAGAACAGATGCAAGCTGTTGTGTAGTAAACGATATCTGTGCAGTTCACACATAGACACGCGAATCATTTTTAAGCAGTCTTTTTGCAGTTTACAGACACTATTGCATATCGCGATTAGAACGAAGCACTTAAGAATAAATGACTTACTACTCCACCTCAGCTGGATTCGTTGCTCCTCGAAATGAAACTAAACCGGCACCGATTATTATTACGATAGAATTATTCCTCATAGTGTCAAAGTACATGAGTCTGATTAAACTTGATGTGTTTTATCCAGCTGATGTGGGCATTGACACGTTTGCATCTGGCCTCAGATTATTTGTGTTTTATATAGCGCGCTCTCAGTGAGTGTGGTCACATAAGCACTTTATAATGAGCTGAAATGAGAATGACTGACATCTCTCTCTTTTCATACAGATTGCATAAACTGAGAATATTTGTTTTTATATAAATTACTTAATTTAAAATAAGAGAATCCAAGCTTAATGCCTGTGTGCCTGTATGCCAGCGTGACTTAGTATTCGCTGAGTTACAGTTCACTTTCGGGTGTGTTTCAGACTTCACATTGAGAGAGATGGCAGAACGCGCCATCTTTTTCTCTTTTTTGATAAAAAGCAGAACACTTTGTTTTTACTGTGAGTATACACAAAAAAATAGACGCTTAACAGGATCGAATGATGTATAACACTTATGTGTAAGATCAAAATCAACAGAGTAATTTGAGTAGGGTTGGGAACCGAGAACCGGTTCTTTTCCAGAACCGGTTGTGTTTTTGAAAAAATACCGGAACCGTGCAAAATTCCTAAGTTTCGGTTCCGAAAACGGTTCTGGTGCCGATGCGATATCATCATGTGGGCGAAGTGCTGGGAGTAGAAGACGCCGTCTTATTCCTTAATGACAAAAACTTCACCACTGAAGTTGCGATTTGCTCTCACACGCGCTGCATTTGTCACACACAGACACACGCACGCTGCACGCGCCGACCGCCGAGTCACTCTCTAGCCTACATTCAAATCTGTTTGCGCTGAGAGAGAGAGAGAGAGCAGTTGTCGATATGAAACTGCTTTACAATCACACAGTCTCAATATTTATTTGTTTCACATATTCAAATGATTTCCGTTACAGAATTAGTGAGATTATAGTTTGAGTAAACATTGACGGTAGTGCTCAAAACAGATGCAGTCCGTATATTTTTTGTGTTCAGAATTTACAAAATATATACAATGTGCATCATAATGTTTTTTTTTTCAAACCGTGTTTTTGTCTTATCTTGAATCACTACGTAAAGCCTGTAATAAGCGTTAATACTCGGACTTCTTGTTTAGACTGGCCGGCGGATCGCAGCTGCTGCGGAGTAGCCCAATGCCTGCGTGACTCGTCATGGACATAAACAGAGAGAAGTAGCTCCGGCAACAATGTTCTTCCGCAAGACGCATGCAGTTCTGTTTATTAACTGCTAGAGCGCCGATTTATCCAGTAATGAAATAAGTAAAGTCTTTATGAATCAATCATTCAAACCGTTTTAAAAAATAATCTGTTCTACACACATATGTGTGTTAAAGCATATTCTAGTGAGGGTATTCTTCACTGTTGGAGATACAATAAAGGAGAGGTCTAAATTATTATAGAGAATGCAGAATTTTTTAATTTCCTTTATATATATATATATATATATTTTTTTTTTTTTTTTTTTTTGCAAAGATTGCTTAATAATATTTTGAGTTTGTTTACATTACCAGTCTGTTAAACTAATTTGTCAAGTACTATAAGAAATAAACACAAAAAGGATTGTGGATTTTTCTCTTACTAATATTTTTAACTGAATGGGAACCAGAACCGGAATCATTTGGCGGAACCGGAATCGGAACCGGAACCGGAAAATTTCTCACGATTCCCAACCCTAAATTTGAGTCTCTTTTGCACTGATGAGAAAAAAAGCGAGCTGGTTTCGCTGGCACGGCCACCGACCCCAGAGGGTTAAACAACCTTGAAAACTGTGTACTTGGGAGAACTTGTGCTGTTTTAAAGAGAAAGGATGATCAAACCAAATATCGATTTGATTTTAGATTTCTAATGTTAAATAATAAATACTTGTTTTTGAGAACGTCTACATAGAAACTTTTGCACGGTATTGTATTTATACATACTTATTAGTTAATTTATTTCACTCAGTTTCACTGAGATTAGCAGTAATAATGATCCTGTGTAAAACCCTGATTCTGTCCGACATACTTGAGTATCTGCAGAGAGCAGTTTGGATCCTTCAGTTTGTCGGAGAGCAGCTGGACTCCTGATTGTCCTGGGTGATTGTAGCTCAGATCCAGCTCTCTCAGGTGTGAGGGGTTTGAACTCAGAGCTGAAGACACATAACCACAGCCTTCCTCTGTCACCATACAGCCAGACAACCTACAGACAACACAAAACAGTCAGATAATCTTAAACACAAGATTAAGAATTGAAGTGAAGACTCAAAAACATTAAATAGACCTGACCTGGCTTGACATACTGATATTTTATTTAGAAAAGCTGACAAAACATGGGAAGTGGGTCTTCTGTGTCTAGATGTGCTACCATCTTATCTCACTGTCATACCCTGTCATAAGTGTCTGGCATGTTGAACTGAACTCTGAACCTTTTATTTTCTCATTTTGACCACTGTAACAGAGAGGCCAGCATTCATCCTGCTCTACCAAGAACTTCCCAGAACTTCATTTAGACTCTGGTTCCTGCGGTGTAAACACACAGAGAACCACCCCAAAGTCCCTAGTTCCTGGGGTGGAAACGCAGCTTTAGTTCTACGTTTTCCTGGTTGCATTCGCACCGCCAGTAAGAACTCTGAAGTAACGTAAGCCATGCTTGTTGTTGTGACATTTATTTTGACGACGCAGCAGACCTTTAATTTGATGGCACTGAGAACACAAGAGCCAAAAGGTTTAAAAGATCCAAGATTTATAAGATTAAATGTTACATACCTCAGTTTCTCGAGCTGACAGTTTGGACTCTTCAGTCCGTCTGAGAGAAGCTTCACTCCTGAATCATGCAGGTCGTTGTTGCTCATGTCAAGCTCTCTCAGGACACAGTTTGAGGATTGTAGAGCTAATGATACAATTTCACAGGACTGATGAGTCAGATTCAATTCAGAAAGACTGAAACAGACCAGAGCACAACAGAGTTTCATGGTATCTTCAACAGGCTAATAAGTCAGTTATGGTCTAAAAAAAAAAATAACAGCAGAACAACTGCTGCTGTAAAATATAAAAGATAGACCTTAGTATGTATACCACTATACTAGATGGATTCATGTATAGTCTTTTATATTAAAAATGTATTATTGATTTAGCAATTTTACTTGGTAGTCGCCGATGTGATGTCGTAATGGGCTCTATGCATGGTGAAGGTGTAAGGATGATCAATAACTTCCGCCGATCGTAGAGTCCAACGCAATACCGAGAATTTATATTGAATTTTATACTCCATGATTATACTAAAGACACGTTAGTCACAAAAACAGGCAAAACAGACACCCCTCATTGTGTTTATGCTTCTTTTTAAAATTATATTCAATAAACTATATAAAAAATTATATCTAAACGTATGAAAGTTTCGTTTCAAAGACGGGAGGCCAGTAAATATTGAAGATTTTACTGATTTTTATACTAAGATTAAATCTACTGACAGACATATAAAAAAAACTTTTGTCTCATAACTGAGCACAAACTCACAAAACTTTGTGGCAGTTGATCACAACTGGTATCAGTCTTCTTCTCCCCTCATCTGATGTGTTGTATTTCTTGAGGTTCAGCTCATCCAGCACCTCCTCTGACATCTGAAGCATGTAGGCGATTGTTGAGCAGTGAGCAGGAGAGAGTTTCTTCTCTGAGTGTTTATCTGATTTCACAAACTCCTGAATCTCTCTGGACAGAGTCTGATCTTTCACTTCCAGCAGACAGAGGAACAGATTGATGGATCTTTCAGTGGGGAGTCCATGTCCATATTTGATTTTCTGTTTAATATACTTTGTGGTTTCTTTGATGCTCTCTGAGCTTTTAACTGTGTGTGTCAGTAGATCCTTTAAGAGTCTCTGATTGGACTCCAGTGAAACGCCCAGCAGGAACCGCAAGAACAGATCCAGCTGTCCGTTTTCACTTTTAATGGCGGCATCTACTGCTCCTTTGAGCAAATTATGCAGTGCAAAAAAGGTTAGTGTCTCCATAATGGTGAACAAATTGTAGTAAAAAACATACAAAGCTGCAAGAAACTCCTGAAAGCTAAAATGAATGAAGCTGTAGACTTTCCTCTGATGAATCACAGATTCCTCCTTAAAGATCTCAGTGCAAATCCCAGAATACACTGAGGCGTCAGTGACATCTATGCCGCTCTCTCTCAGGTCCTCCTCGTAGAACATCACATTGCCCTTCATCAGCTGCTTGAACGCCACTTCAGCAAGTTTCACAATCACTTCTCTGTTGGACTGCAAGACCTTCTCTGGATCTCTCTCTTCATACTTCTGATTCCTCGAGTTGATCTGAATTAGCAGGAAATGGATGTACATTTCAGTCAGGGATTGGGGGATTTCTGCACTCAGATCTTCTTCCAGGAGCTTCTGAAGCACAGTGGAGGAGATCCAGCAGAAGACGGGTATGTGGCACATGATGTGGAGGCTTCTTGCTCTTCTGATGTGAGAGATGATTCTGCTGGCTTGATGCTCGTCACTGATTCTCTTCCTGAAATATTCCTCCTTCTGGGTCTCATTGAATCCCTGAATCGCGGTCAGACGGTGGATGTATTTGGAGGGGATCTGATTGGCTGCTGCTGGTCTGGAGGTGATCCAGATGAGAGCCGAGGGAAGCAGATCTCCTTTAATGAGGTTTGACATCAACACACCCACTGATGAAGTCTCAGTCACATCAGAAACTTCCTGAGCGTCTGAAAACATCAGTGGGATTCTGCTTTCATCCAGACCATCAAAGATTAACACAACTCTACACTCTTCATACATCTTTGAGTCCAGATCTTGAAGTTCAGGATGAAAGTCCAGCAGAAGTGTGTGAAGACTGTACCGATGATCTCGGATCAAGTTCAGCTCTCGAAATGGAAGCACAAACATGAAATCTACATTCTGATTGGCTTTCCCCTCGGCCCAGTCCAGAATGAACTTCTGCACAGAGACGGTTTTCCCGATTCCAGCGATGCCTTTAGTAAGAACAGTCTTGATCTGCTGTTTCTCCTGGTGTCCTGGTTCAGGAGAGGCTTTAAATATGTCATTGCAGTGGATTGGAGTGTCTTGTGAGTGTTGTGTTCGGGCTGATTTCTCCATAAGTAAAACCTCATGTTCTTCATTCACTCCTTCACTCTCTCCCTCTATGATGTACAGCGGTGTGTAGATCCTGTTAAGATGGGTTTCATTCTCTTGGAATTTGGTTCCCTCATCTAAGTTCTCATACTTGCTCTTCATTCTGGTTTTGAGTTGGTTTTTGGCTCTCTTAATGACATCATCCACTGATTCCTGCAAGTCTCCAGTCTGCAGGGATGCAGTGCATGTCGGAAAGGTTCTGTCAAAAAGACAATGATATTATGATATGAATGATTGAGTTTCTGACATTTTTTTTCCTATGAAATGCAGTACAGTAAAGTAGCTACTACATGTGTATACTAACAAAGGGTCAGAGGACATGGGACCACTGAATGAAAGGGGTCGATTCATGGTACTCCTCACAGACACACCACTGGGTTCTGGAGACTCGTCTCTTCCTCCTGGTGATAATGACAAGAGACAAACAAAATGACATATTATACATATTAACTGTAGGGCTGCATGATTAATCACAATTTACAATAAATCATACTTAAATCGAGTTGGCTTATCGTGATTTTGAAATCGCAAAGGCTGCAATTATTTTTTTATGCACAGCTTGTCATTGATGTCCGGTTCTTGAAACTCTGCTCCTGAAAGCACTGTGAGTTTGAGACACTTTTAACGTGCATTTGAAAAAGCCCCATTCGTCAAACATCTTTCCAAACACAAGAAGCATTAATGAACCTCTTGTCCAACAAAAGACAACATTTAATAACATGCTTTTACTCCAAACTCACTTCATAACGACAGTTGGGCATCCTTCTGTTAGATGATGTGGCTTTGACACAGAATGAGGTAGTCGTGTGTTTATTAGTCTTGTTTAATGCAGAGGGGTGCCGTATATTTGGCGTCTCTGCGTGAGACTCCTTTGGCGTTCAGATGGAGCAGCATTTACTATGAATGGAATAAGTATGACAGCATGATCGCAAATCAAATGCGTTGGCGTGTCTGCGTGTCTCAACGTCTCTCAGAACAGCTCTACCAAACCAGCTCTAGTAGCCTATGATCAACTAAGAGGCATATACAATTTCTTCGAAATTGTCAATTTAAAACATCATTTAAAATCACTGCAAGAAGAAACTGAAATTCCCGTGCACAAAATTCACAAGCAGAAGAATGTGAAAAAGGAAAAATATTTTTTCAAAGAAGTCACTAGGTGAATGCACAAGATGTGGATACAAACACGTACCAAAAGAATGCCCTGCATACGGACAAATATGCAAAGCCTGCCACAAAAATAATCATTATGTAAAGAAGTGTATGACTCGCGCACAAACAAAGAAATAACTAAGAATTCATTGAATCGATCAAGACGATGAAATGTTGCTTGGAACCATTGAGATGAACAGTGGACCGAAACCCTCAAGGTAAACAAGCAAAAGCTGATTGTAAAGATAGATACAGGTGCAGACTGGAATGTCAGACATATAGACTGACAGAATGACATTAAAAAAATCACGATATAAACTAGTGACGTATTCAGGCCACAAGATGTCGCCCTTGGGTCAGCAACACCTTGAATGCCAGTATAAAGACAAGCTATACACTCTTGAATTTCAGGTCAGAAATGCCTAGAACCAAGATATTTTCTGTGGTGGATGCAAATCAGGGATTCTGGCAGATCCGCCTGGAAGATGACCGTTCCAAACTCTTAACACACCTTTAGGGAGGTGCAGTTTTACAAGGCTTGCTTTTGGGATTTTACCCAAAGGTGTTTGTCTCAGCATCTGGAAGGAATGGAAGGAGTTGTTAATGTAATGGGTGACATTCTGGTGTGGGGAGAAGACAAAGACTGAGGAAGTTAGAAAAAATGAGAAGCATAAACCTGAAACAAACGCAAGATTGGCCAAAGTGAAATCAGCTACATAGGTCACGTGCTGAGAAAAGAGACTGAAACCTGACAATGAAAAAGTGAGAGCTATTCTTGAGATGCCGGATGGTGAGATTTGTTCCAGGAAAAGAGTTGCACATTGTGTATGCATTGAGCAGAGCTTACCTTCAAGAGCATTGCACTCAGGACAGCAGAGAAGAGGACGAGATACAAGTGAGTTTTATATTTCAACAACTACCTGTTTCAAAGGAACAAAAGAACAGTTTCAGGCAGCAACTTTAGAGGATGAGGTACCGAGAATAGTCAGAGAAGTGGTTCAGTCAGGGTGGAAGACAAGTACCATAACCTATACCACAGGGCTGGACTTTTAGAGAGGGACTGAGTTACACAGATGGACTGTTGTTCAAAAATGGAAAACTAGTAGTGCAGATTACCTCCTCTGTGTGGACTACTTTACCAAGTACCCTGAAATCACTAAGTTAAATGATATGACAAGTAAGCAAATCATTGCGGTTCTCAACCAAGATCTTACACTGTTTAAACACCAGACAGTCGCATCTTCAGAAGAAATAGAAGAGACTTGCTGAAAACAAAGGAGACAGTGTGTCCTTCACCTCAAACTGAAGCTGTGGAAGACTTACCTGTTGCTTCACCAGAGCAGAAAACATCTTCTGTGAATGCCAACAGTTGTCTGAATTGTAAAATCATTGGTTACCGTAAGCCAATCACATAACGCAATCACGTCTCTCTCCAACTTAAACAACCTCCAACCTCCATTTAAAATGTTTAACAAACACTCTTCTTGTTCAGGCTTCAGTTTGCAAATGCCGGGAATATTCTCCAGAACAGAGCGAATTACATCCCGTATCTCCATATCTGCGATCGTTTTCGATTTCCCTAACCTAAAATACATTCTTAAACTCGGTGCTTAGCGTGTACGTCACAGCTCTCGGTCCGCCCTCTGTTCGTTGATTGGCCGGCTGAAACTGAGAGATAGGTCGCTTTCTCAGACTGAGTACAGAAGCGAAATGAAATAGAGCGAAAGTACGAAGTCTGACGTAGTCAGGCCAACAGATTTACTAAATCGTGTTAAACTGTGTTTGTCTGTGTGTGTGTGTGTGTGTGCATTTATTACTTCCTCTATTCATGAGTTTTATGTTTACAAACAGGAAGAATGTCCAGAACCACAACACAAAATGTCATCTTTATTGTTTTCAGTTACTAGGAGTATGCAATGGAACAGATTGTTGTCATGTAAGCTATTTAATATATTGGTATATATATTTAATATATTTTTGCTTTTAAGATTAATGCGTTGGTCGGTTGTGAAACATTTTGTGACATGTCGCTTTCCCTCTCTTTCACCAGCAGAGGTCCTCGTGGAGCTCGGATCTGAAAAGCTTTGAGTTCAGAAAGCTTCCCTTCGCCAGCACTAGTAATGAAGTCCCCAGCAGACAAACTGACAGTGCAGCTTTATCTCCCAAACATGATCAAACTTAAAACAAACAAAGGCTTGGCAATCATGGCTTGAAGAACATGTACTTACCAAACAATGGTTACACAGACAATACTGGACAAGACATGATCACAGGACAAAACCAGGAACATGACATTGGGCATGAATACAAAATAAAAGACATGAACACAAACAAAACCCAAAACAAACGGTGACAGTAGGCTAAGAATGTTGCATATACATTTTTCCTTAGCCTCAAATTTTGTTTAGGCTAGCTTTACGCCTGCCCTGTGTATATAATAACAATAGCTTACTATGTTGAAAAAAAAGTATGTATGACTATTAGTCTATAATATTTAATTATATATAACAATTAAGTTATTTTAACAAATATTATAATATAAAACATAATCTTTAAGTGTAAATATTAAAAGTGATTTACTTTGACTGCAATAGTCAGCATTTCGTCAGTAGGTAGTCTGCATGTTAAACAGCTGAAATGAAGATCTATCCCATGTAAAAAATCAGCCAGTTTAATACAGTATGACAGCTTACATGAAGAATCATTTCTGAACTTACCAGCTGTTTAAATATTCGCTGTAAAGAGGTTTAAAGCTTCGGAATGGAGAAGAGGTACAGCGACTGCCACTGAAACTGAATATCCCAAAACACACGACGTCCACTTTCATTTACAACCAGAAGTAGGAGGTTCCTGCAGATGAAGGCAAATAATGACAAGAGAGTGATCATACTCAATTAATGATAACACTTATAATTGTGATTGATTTTTAATAATTAAATCATTTAAATTATAGCAGTTTTTATATATCAAATATATTTATAATATTCGTTATTACATGTTTTTTTAATAAGATGTTAGTATATGTTCAAAGTCATCAACCTGCAGCTGAGTGGTTTGTGTCTGTCAGCTCCGTATTGGTTTCTGTATTGAATTTTATTTACTATCATTTTGTGTTGTTTATATTGCATATTATATCTTACTCATCACCACACATTAATCTGACATCGCTAGCTTCTATCTAAACCTTTATAAGTAGCACAATAAGCTATTAATTTCACTAGCGTGAACAACACGCTAGTAGCTCGCTAGCCTGTTAATGCGCCCTCTATGCCTGTTGTCTTAATTTTTTTTTTTTTTGCGTGCGCGCGCTCGCGCCACCCATGCCTGTGGTCTTTATTTATTTATTTTTTCTCAAGCTCGCTTTTGCCTTTTACGAATCTGATTAATCTCATTTCCAAAACATAAGCTTTGAAATTATTTCGGATTAAAAGTTTTTTGTTTTTGCTTGTTTTTCGTAACAATATCTGGCAACACTTTACTACAGGGATTAATAAAAATAAGCGTATAGACAAACTGTAATGCTGACAGAAAGATACCAAGATTCGGTAAGACAAACGCAATGATCATCGTAAGAAATGTATAACACTATCAAAAACAATAGCATGATACAGATCTGTATATTACAGAATTAAAAATGGGCCAAATACTGGTCAGCAGGAAGACTGTGAATGCTGTTTAGTTAACCTTTCAATAAGTCATCATAAAAACATTCATTAAAGCAGTGTTTCTTTGGGTCGCGGAGTGTGCTGTCAAAGAAACAACAAACACAATTCTGTTTTTCTGACGGTAGACTTTTATTTTGGAAGACGTGAAAGCGTTTGACTGTTCTTTCAGTGCCTGAGAAAAATGTCGTCATTTAGTATCTACTGTAAAGGTGAGATGCCAGTTTGCTCCAAAATAGAGATATATCCAGCTGCAGACCCGCAGCACCACCAGTTTCAGAACCCCAGTTTCAGAACCGGAAGTGAAGGAGGGGCGGAATTATTATTATTGCATTATAATTATTTTAGCAAGCATGTAAGGACAAACCGGGCCTTGAGTTCCTCATTTGATACATTGTAAGTTAAATTTAAACAAAATTGTTGTGATAAAACAGGCCTAGCTTGGGTTGAATTGGTCCTTTTGTATAGATTTTTAACAAAATAATGCAGAATTTTCTCTTTTTTTAGATTTTGACATTATTTTACACGAAAAATGCATGCTGCACATGTTCTTGTGAAATAAAGTATATTTTATAAAAAAAATACCCATGCTTTTTTTTATTTTTTTTTTTATTAAACAATCAAAATCATCTTACAAATACATCTTCAATATCAAAACAATTTAAGATTTTTGTAAACACAATAAAGAAAAAAATAAATAAATAGAACATAAAATATCACAGAGGTCTAATGAGTTATCAGATTGTGTATAATTTTGAAAACCTCCAATGATTGTCTTGTTTTATATCTTTCAAAGCTTTATTATACAAAGTTAACTCCTTCATAAAAACCAAAAAAACAAAGGTCTTATCTTCCTAAATCTACACGTATAAACTGCTTAGCTAAAATTATTAAACTGTTATACATTAAAATAGAGTCTGGTTGAACCAGACTACATTAAAATGCCCATAAGTTTCAAGTATTATTTTTTTTACCATCATGATCAGGAAGTAACTCGTAATACAATGAAACGAATAACTGAAACTGTATACAATTATTTTACACAAAATCAATGTTTTAAAATGCTTATTGTACAGTAATGTATAGCATCATAACATACGTAGAGAGTAGGACGTTTCTTGTTCAATAAAAGCTGTTTCATGTGTAAAATACCCTCCAAATTACGTTAGGTGGCGATATTAGGTTTCAAATCTAAGCTCCGCCCCTCAATTACGTTCCTGGCGCTGGTGTTGGTTAGAATCTAACGCCGCCCCTCACTTCCGGTTCTGGCGCTGGGGTTCTGAAACTGGGGTTCTGAAACTGGTGGTGCTGCGGGTCTGCAGCTGGATACTATAGCCAAAATAGATGGACACCACCAGAGCAGCATAGCTATCCCTACCGGACATTTGCCGCAAAACAACAAAAATACAATGTCCAGTGGGAGAAAAAGTATGAATGGCTTCACTACTCACCATTTGAGGATTTAGTATATTGTGCTCACTGCCTCAGCTTTAATAAGTTAGGGCTAGGTTAGGGTTAGGGCTCAAACTTTAGTTTTATTACAAAGGGCTTCACTGACTGGAAGAATGCTGTGGGTGAAAAGAGAGGTTTCATCCCAAGACACTGTTTAACAGAAGGACACAGAATAACCACAGAAAAGGCAGAAAACTTCCTTTCTGTTGTCCAAAAAAAGAGAAAGGATATTAGTTTAACTATCAGCCAGAAGTGTGAAGAAAAGATCCTTGCGAATCGTAACAGTCTTCTATCTATTATTGACATAATTGTGTGTCTTGGCCAGCGAAATATAGCATTCCATGGGAGCTGGGAGGGGGACAGTGAGAATGGAAACTTTAACCACCTCGTTAACTGGAAAGCACAATTTAATGTGGCCTTAAAGCAACACATGCAGACTGCACCCAAAAATGCAATATACCTTTCCCCGCAAATCAGAATGAGCTAATTGAATGAGCGACGCTAATCAAAAGGATACAGGCAGCCAGGTACTTCACTGCATTAGCTGATGAGTCTGATGAGGATACAAGTAGGACTGAACAGATGTCCATATCTGTCCCTTACGTCGATGAGGAGGAAGAAAACCTAGAGATAAAGAAGGATTTTCTCGGCTTCTGTCCCTTGCCCAAACAAATAACCTCAGCCGTTCTCAATCAGCTGACAAAGTGGGGTCTTCGGACAACTTTCCTGAGGGGTCAGGGCTATGATGGGGACGAGTGGCAAGGAACTGTTCCCCAGGGCAGAGTACACCCATTGTAGGAGCCATGCTCTTAATTTGGTTGTGATGCATGGCTGTTCTGATCTTCCTTTAGTGAGAAACACAATGTCAGTCGTAGAAAAGATTGCAGTATTCTTCTCAGCCACAGGGGCCAGGAAAGAGGCCCAGTACAAGAGAAGGGCTACCAAGAAAAGCTGGGATCCCATTTATGTCAGACACTAGATGGGGTAGCAGAGCAGACACACTGAGTGCTTATGTAGACCATGGAGGCCGAAGTAACTACCACTTCTGGAAAGGCCAGTACTCTCCGGCATAGTATTGAGACATTTGAGACCATCATTACTGCTGTGATAGCCAACAGAGTGCTGAGTTATATGCCACCTCTAACCAGACAGCGGCAGTCTACCAACTTCATACGAGAAGGCAAGAAATGTATGGCAAGTCATAGCCAACCAAAGAAATGAGCAAGGATTCATGTTTTCAAAAAGCCACAGCATTGGCCAACTCGGTTGATGTGGTCCCAGCAAAGCGTAGAGTGTCTGTAAAACAGAATTACAGATCAAACATATCCACAGAGTCGGTGGAAGACCACTATTGGGATTCGGGTGAAGCTCTACTACCCCTTCTTAGATCACATAATTAGTGAGCTGGATGAGAGGTTCTCTGAAAGTAATGAGCCTGCATTACTAGCAGCTTACCTGGTGCCGAAATCTTTGAAGAAGCTCATAGAAGAAAGAGAGAAAAGAATGGTAAAGTGGTACCATGAAGACCTTCCTTACCCAAACACAGTAGAGCAGGAAATACAATGCTGGAGGCATCATAAAGCTGACTCTGAAAACATCACAGATGGCCTTCTTCCCCAACATCCAGTGCATGCTGAAAATCTTCCTTACATATCCTGTGACAACATGTGAATGTGAAAAATCATTCTCTGCAATGTGAAGGCTCAAAACATGGCTGAGATCTTCCATGTCTAGTGAAAGACTCACAGGACTGGCGTTGATGCATGTTCATCAAAAAATGAAGCTGGACAAGGAGAGAGTCCTTAGATGGTGGGATGCCTCTGGCCACAGGAGGATACAGCTAGCCTTCAATGGAAAGGTAAGGCATGTTGTATAGAGTGTACTAGTCATACAACATTCATTTTATTTATCTTTTTTATTTTGTCATTTCAGTGAGCCAAGGATTGAAGAGTCCACACACACACACACACACACACTATAGCAAATAGCCTGTAAATAGTTTGTAACATGTCTGTAAAATGTAAAACATAATATTGAATAAAAAATTATTTCACAAACATCTACATGTCTGTCTTTTTTTAAAGTTTAGGCTAAATGGAGTGTATGAGTTGCATTTGTGGATGTTATTATAGCACAAATCTTTACGGATCTCCCCGGACCTCACTAATTTTCAAACCCTGGTTACGGCCTTGCTTGTAATGCTGCCTGAATCATACACTGTTCGATCATTGGCAGAGGACAATGAACACACACCCTCACCACTGGCTCCTCCTCATCCGCTCGTCACCACGGTGCCAGCTTGGTCTCTTGGTCCATTGGTGTCTCCTGGTCTCCCGTTCCATCAGATTCCTCCTGGGCTCCACATCTCCCGGCTTCACCTTTGTCACTTAGTCCCCAAAACTCTACCAGGATTTTTTTTGGCTGCAAGGCCCAGGCCAGTTCAGAGTTTGTGGTGAGGTAATAAGGCAATATTAAATACATGAAATAAGTTTTACACATATATACACACACTACTCCAAAACATCTATAGGACTTATCGGCGACATCACAGATGAAGTCATGCAGCCTTCAGATAATTTGTATAAGGATTTCCAATTTCAGACCAAAAGGGAAATTCTAAATAGACATCAAGCATGACCCCTCAGTCTCCATAGAGAAGCAAAACAAACTTTAGTGGGTGAAACATCTGTTTATTCCATTTGCCTCTGGCTGTGTGCGCAGTGTGTTTGAGTGTGTTATGAATGGGGAATGTGTGTGTATTCTGTATATAAAATCTCCTGTTCTCTGGGCTTTTCCTCATTGTATCATGTCTGTGGTTTCCATTATTTCACAGACATTTCCAAAACACAGCATGCCAATACAGCATGCCACAACACTTAAGAAGGGTTGCAGTCCAGCATTTCTTAAAGGCAAAGCACTTGAAGACAAACAAATAAATAAATGCTAACACTTTAAAATAATCATTAATCTTAGATCTCGATTGCTTGCTTTTAGTAGTACTTAGTAAGAAATACATTTCCCATGTCCTGGAAATTTCTGTAAAAGGGATAATCCGTCGTTTTTTCATGTTAAACTATGACGAGTTGATACATATCTCTCTCAGTGCATGCACTTAATCGCTCTGGCGCGCGAGACACTTTGATGGTACTTAACTTAGCCCAGTTCATTCATTAGGATCCAAGCAGAGAAGCGAGCAAACATCTCCACGTCCTAAGCATGGGAACCGGAGCTTCTAACGTCAGCTGCAGTGATGCAATGACTTGATCAGCAATTGAGTTCTTTTACTTAGAAGGCAGGACATATTCCGCCATATTGCAAGTTAAAGTTTCTCCCATTCATAAGTAATAGGAGTGAACTGTCATTCTATATCTTTAGTGTTTGCCAAAACCGAAACGTTTTCTCCAAAATAGCTGGATGCTGGAGGAATATATGGAGGGCTTCCTTGAGCTCTACAACGAGGCATGTTGGGATGATGAAACACTCAACCATCTCTTCTGGAGAGGAATATCCTTGGTGCTATTGGGGGAGGATCACTGTCCTTTCGCTGAGTTCGCCGACTACACCTTGCAATCCTCCCTCCCTTTAGTTGTTGAGGACAGCAACAACATCTCCGACTCCAAAGCACATGTTTTTTGATAGAAGTAATCTCTCTGCCTTCTCCAGACAGGACTCCTCATCCCAGCCCCGCAGACGCCTGAGCCCGCCACGAATATTGAGCCCAAGCCAATATTGAGCCTGGTATGGACCAAGTGCGAGAGCTGCCTCCCACAGTGGAGCCAAACCTGCCAACGTATCCGTCCAGGAGCTAGCTCATCAATGTCTTGTCTCCATCATGTTGGCTTTGCATAGTCTCTTGAATGTCCTAGATGATCCACTCCCACCCTGTCACCTGTCTAACCCATTGTCCTTTTTCACCGATGGGGTCCAGTCCCGAGGGCTCACCTGCTCCGCTGGTGTCGTCCAGCTCCTCAGCTCTGCCCCCACTACAGCCTCCAACCAGCTCTCCGGCACCGCCTCAGGTCTCCTGTCAAACAGCCAAGCTCTACAATATGGACCCCCTGACTTCATCTCAGCCTGTTCACCCCTTCATCTCCACCAGGTTCCTCCTTTCCTTCCAGTCTCACTGTTAGGGTTTCTGTCTTGTTTCATTGTGTTATTGTTCATGTATCTTGGTTTAATATAACCCTTTCAGTTTAGTCTTCATTGTGCCTTAGTTTACTTTCTGATTACGTTTACCTGTTTCTCATTTGGTTTCTTTGTTTACTTGTCTATACATACTCCTTTGTCGGTTCTCATTTTTTATAAATGAGGTTAGTGTATGTCTCCTCTGTGTATATTCCTGATTCTACTCTCTGAGTTCATTAAAGTTTAAGTTTTCCCGCAACATGCGTACTCATAAACAACGTGCAATCAGGCTTTGTGAGTGTGACCAAAAAAAGATATATTTCTTAATCAGTTATTTTTGTTTTATTTTTTTATCTTAAATATCTGAACATCCTAAAAACAATATAAATGTACTTAATTACAAAATTAGAACTCATTGGTAAATTCATTTTTCTTGTTTTATATACAAAACAGACTACACTTCTGTTTAAAACAAGAATTGTTTATTTTTATATTTATTTATAAAAACATTGCTAATTAATGTTTTTGTATCATTGAATATAATAAAAATATGTGTGTTTGTGTGTGAGTACATGCTTTTATTCTGTAACAGTAAGTGTTCTAACAGCAGAGCTGATGATTAGTGCAGACTCTTACAAAGCTGGACTCTGAAACCTGAAACCAAGGGAGGGGAGAGAAACAGAGAAGGAAAAATCACAGAAAGAGCGAGACACAGATAGGAACTTTCACTTTTGAGTATAGAAGATCTAACGAGACAAAGAAGATGTGCTGAATGTGTAAAGAATGCAAGAGGTTTGGGACAGAGAGAAACTGAGGGGAGTATGCAGAGCGAGAGAGAGAGGGAGAGAGGGGGAAAATGTGAGTCAAGAGGGAGGGAAGTACAGTGGAGAGGTGATGTAAAAGCAGCTGAGCTCAAAGAGTAAACAGAGCTTCAGACTTCAGCATGTGTTTATCTGTCCCGCTGCACGGCCGCAGCCAGCGGAGCCGTCACAACCCTCTCTCTCTGCCCGGCTTCACCCTCCTCATCATCTTCCTCCTGTTGGCCCCGGGGACGGCCTGGCCTTATGGTAAGTCCATTTAATTGCTTTCAAAGAGTCATGGAGAGTCACACTCTTTTGTTGTCTGAGAGTCAATGTCATGAACTGAACTGTTCCTCTCAATTTATGTGTTTAATTTCCTCTCTTTCTCTCTTTTTTTATGAGGTACTGTATAGAAACTGTTCCAGTCGATTGAAACCCTGTTTAATGTTACAGTTATTGGTTGTTTTGCATTCCCTTAATGAATTATATTCTCTTTTGTGATGCTTTAATGTCGCCCATCTGATTTAATGTAATGTGAAATTTTAAAAACTGAATGTCAAATTTCAATGTGGTCAAAAGGCACATATTTAAAAAGTGATTTGTCAACTCATATTAATGAACCCTTAAAAATCTGTGTAAAAGACAAGACTGAACTGAGGCCATGAACTTCATGATTTTCCTGGATTGATCTTACAGACCCCAAGATGCTATTCACGCTGAGACTCTTTCTGCCTCAGATAAAGAGACTCTGTATTCCTATGCTCATCGCCCTTCAGGAACAGATCAGGCAAATAAAATAAAAAAGTAAATTTTCAATGAACTCTTCACATTCACATCCACACTTTGAAAACAAGTAGGTCAATTAAAGGTCATGCCTTACCTCAAGAATACACTGGGACATTTATAGAGTGCTACATTTGCACATAACATTCCCCAGCAGAGGCTAGTTAGGCAACAAAGACATTCATATTGCGCTGTGGTTTCCTCTATGCGTGGGTGAAAGTATACAGAGCTCAGTGGTGGTTATTTGGAGTGAGGGTTTTTTGTTCCATGGCTGCTAATCCGTTCAGGCCTGTGGCATATCCAACTGCTATCTGAAAATGTGAACACTACCATGTCAAGAAACATTGATATCAATAGATGCTGCAGTCACACTGCATTAAACTCAATCAGGGATGATTCACTTTGAATTATTACGCTTGCTAAAAGCATAGTTTGTTTGTGAACATCATCTCTAATTCCTTAAATTGTGTAGATCAGGGCATAGATCTTAAGGAAAGAGTTTCTCAGCCCTGTTGCTTGAGCTCCAGCAATGCACATTTTGTATGTTTCCCTAATCAAACACACCTGATTCAGGTCATCCGGTCACTGGTTAAGATCTTGAATTGCTTTAACAGAAGAATTAGACATTTAGAATAGTCCAGGAACAGTAGGATGATTTTGATTACCAAAAACCAGGACACTCGGCCCAGCAAACACATGGGCCAACTCAAATGATACATGAAGTTTACTCAAAGATACCTTATTAATTTCAATACATTTAAAGTAGGTTATGCCTCCTCTGTATGGATAGAAAATTGTTATATGAAAACAGGACAGTTGGTCACCCTAAGGAACAGGGTTGAGAACCAGTGCAAGGAAAGGAAACTTCTGGGTCGTATTCAGAAAGTTGCTAGTTCTCTGACTGCAAGTACTACCCCAGAACTGCCAAAAACAATGCAATTATATATATATTTTTTTTATTAAGGAAATATGGAGTAATGAAGAAAATGGTTTTTGCAGTGAGGGAAGCAAACCTATTATTTTAATCTTTACTAGAAATTGGACAAGAACCTACTGACGGCTAGACTGACGGCATTACAATTCAATATAGCAATACTTTGAAAGTTATAACTATGATAAGAGCATTGCATGTGATTCTCTCTGTGAGATAAACTGCTCTTCCTAAGCTGTGAAACTCCTGTGGTCTTTTTGATAACACACTGAAACCGTTGCAGATGCCTCCCACACTACTGTTCCCTGTTTCTCTGAAGAAAACACACACAAACATGAGGTCATCGGGCGATTAGATCAACACACTGGAATATTTCTCTCTTCCATGTCTAATGAGTATAAAAGTGTATTTTGAATTCACTCAACCATGCAGACTAAACTTATCCTGGACGTTTTGTTGTTGTTTTTCCCCTTGTCTGTGTGCGTGTTACAGTTTTCTTCACGTAAACCCACAAAAATGTTGTTGTTCAGAAAGTTTTTGGGGGAGTCAGGGGTTGTGAAAGACTGTAGTCAGCTGAGCAATGTTTTCATCCAGCCTGAGGAACACATACCTTGATTTATTGGTAAAGAAATGATTGGAAGTCATTTCAACACCAAAACACCTTAAGAAACTACCATTAAAGACTAAACAGCAACTGTTAATTTCATTATGTTCTCCAAAAGAATTCACATTCATTCCTGAGACATCCCCCTGGAAATACCAAAGAAAACCTGGCAAAGTTGTCTCAAAGCAACACTCCGCCTTTCCACTAAAGGCTTCACGTTACTGGTTCTCTAGAGGAGAATGAATCCACCATAACACAACAAACAGCTGTTACCATGGAAAATACCACAGCGTCTACAACTGCACTACAGTCTGACATCATGCAGTGTAAAGCAGGAGTGGCCAGCTTCTCTCGGTACCAAATCTTTCTCAAAGCTTCAGTTCCAACCCTGATCCGACATGATCTTCCACATAACCCAGAATGCCTTGACTGGCTGAATATACTTGTGTTTTATTAGGCTTGGAGTTGAACTCTGCAGCATGGTCCTCCAGGAGCAGGAAAGATCCTCATGTAAAGTACTGTAAAAGCAAATACTGTAAATACTATAAAGTTATCTAAAATATGTTAAACAACAAGTCATTTAGTCTTGTTGTAAAGTATTGTCATCTAATTTCCCTTACAAACACCTTTTGATGATGCTTTGCTGAACTACCGTGTGTTTCTGAAGTGTTGGCATCTACAGTATATTTCCTCTAAAAGAAGCGGCAGCTTTTGCTCGCTGGATATTCTGCTACCGACTCGGACAGAAAGGGTCGGCACTAGCGATAGGAAGAGTAGGCAGTTGCCCTGTAGCAGAGGTGTCAAGCTCAGTTCCTGAAGGGCCACAGCCCGGCCCGGTTTACCTTTAGCAGTTAGTGGTCTTCAAATGAGCCTGATGGACTTGATTAGCTGGATCAGGCCAGTGCAATGAGGGTGAAAGCTAAACTCTGCAGGGCTGTGGTCCTCCAGTTGATCTCCACATTAAGGAGGGCCTCCATTAACATTTGGTAACCCACCAACTAAGACAGGTTCTTTGTACATAAGATTGTCACTCACAGATTAACAGATAAGACAGATTCAATGAGGGTCCCACTCTCTGAGTGCGAGGTGGGGGAAGCGTGCATTAAAAATGACCAAAAACTTTACTGTTTGGATGTACAATTATTATTTTTTTTTAATTTAGATGCATTTCCTAGTCTAATATGATCTCAAAATGGAGCCTTGACAGCATGTAACCTGACATGTGCTAATGTCTCCTTCACTTCCTTGTTGCCAAAAATGTCAAGCATGTGATGTAATATGATAATACTACATTTATTTTGGTTTAATATTATTATAGTTTTTTAATGCAATTTTCACTGTGTAATTTATAAATGATGATACTCTACACCATAGAGGGTAAAATGTATTTATTGCTCTTTATACTATATGTATTTATTTCTAGATTTATTTATCTATTTTTTTGGAGATGAGGTTTGCTACAGGACGAGCCAGATCAACTGGACAGTGATTTTTCTCGATTCTCATCTTTATCAAATACATTAATTCTTTACTTTCCTATATTTTACATTTATTTATTTATATTTGGGCTCCTAACTAACCTGATTTACTTTTAATAAAGTATTTATGTACATTTATGAAACTTATTGTAAAGTGTGAAATTTCTCCATTACCTGATGTGTAAATAATGTTTGCAATTTAACATAGCTGAGGAGGACATTGACAAGCTTGCAAACCAGGAACAAAAACTTAACTTGGCAATGACCTGGCACATTGAAACATGGAACTGCAACTTACTTCGATAAACGACCAAGAAACAGGGCAAACATGAGGGCTTATACACAAAGACCAATGATAACAAGGAACACCTTTGAACAGTAATTAAGACAATTACCCAATGACAACATAGAACACATGACGAGACTAAAACTAGACATGCCATTTAGGCCCTTTACTAACATTATTGATAATAAAAGAGCACATTGAGGAGATACACTGGACTTATTGTAAAGCAAAAGTTGCTTAACATTTATTTGCTTTACCCATAAATCAACCATAATTAAAACCATACAAACATGTCAACATTTTCTGAGCCAAATCTTTAATACATAATGGGAAAACTGCCAAGCCATCATTGCTGCCAGTTTTGCACAGACAAAATTGTACAATAGACCGAAACTGCACATACAAAGTGCTTAATTTGTTCCACGTTGGCCGTCTCTTGAAATAAAACGTTCAGTGAGGAAGGAAATATTCCATTTGTTTCCTTCATGATACATAGATTTTTAGCAATGACATAAAAAACATTCAAGGCAAAAATGTTCCTAATCTTCAAAGCGGATAACATATATGTCTGTAGAAATCATTAGTAAGTGTGTTTTATAGTAGTAAGTTTAATATTCACAAAAAAATCAAACAGCTGATTACTGACACAGATTATATGTATGAAAGACACTGAAAGACTACGAGAAGGAGTCCTCGAGCCAGCCACCTGCTGTCCTGGAGCGATAGCACCTTAAAGGGTCATGAAACCCCCTCTTTTAGCCTGGTCCTTCACACCTCAGAGTTGGAAAAAGTCTCAAAAAGTGGGAGTTGTTCTTTGAATTGTCGGCCAAACACGGTGAAACACGGTGCTGGTTCATGTTTAGATCACTAGAGTATATGAAATAGGTCCATATCCCTGAAAAATACGTGAAACACACTTGCTCTGGTCGACATGAACTGCGTTGTGAGCATTGTTGAACTCATCGCGGCGCTTCCGCGCAGTAACTGCTCTCATGCACGCACCGCATATTTGAGTTCTCCGCTGTAATGCGATCTCGTGCGTAAAAATACAACGCAGTGATTGGATTGAACAAGCTCTTTCTCATGAATAAATGCAGAGATTATCTCGACAGTCAGCTGACGTAGAATCGTGCCACAACCAATCACACACTCCGATGGTGCCTCTACCTCACATTCCCTGACGTTGCTTCGACTTTGCTTTTCAACGAAATTGAACGGGAAAAAATGCAAAAATGACCATTTTCCACTTATTTATAACATTTCTGAGTGCTTTTAGTGTTTTCAGTGATGTGCAACCTGTACAACACATCTAAAAAATGTGTTTTGGGGTTTCATGACCCTTTAAAACCTGGGCTGGATGACCACCTAATCCAAATGCTGCCAGTGGGAGATACAGTACCACATGCACATACTGTATGAACAATACTTGGACTGTGTGCTGAGGCTGAGCTATGTGCTCTGCAACCTGCCCAGCCCACGTCCAGCATCCTCTCTTCAATTCTCATTCGAGTTACCCCAATCTCATTCGAGTTACACCCCTGCTGGAAGTTAAGAGCCAGCCCCTGTGCCTGACATGGACCACAGCCAGAGCCCACCACAGAGTCAAAGCTGAGTCTGACCAGGAGTGTGAGCCGGCCCATTGTCTGTCCCGGAGCCTGAGACTACCTTCCAAATACCCACGGATACTAAGCACGAGCCCACTGCAGACACGGAGCCAGAGCCTGTTGGCATGGTCAGGTGCGAGAGGTCCATCCCTATAGGACTTTCATTGGAGCCAGATGGCACAGAGAGCTTTCCCATCAATCCTCTTTGATTTCCCCACGGTTGGACTATTGGATTCCCTGGTCACCTCCTGTTCCCAAGCCTTCCCAAACCTCCTCCATTGATCAAACTCCAAACTCCGTTGTTTCCGCTGGTTCTGCTCAGTCCCAAGTCTCTTTCGTCGCTACTGGTTCTGCCCAGTCTCCCACTCCCTCCTTCTCTGAATACACCTTTAAGCTCCTTGGCCCTGCCTTCACTGATCCCATCTATCACTCCTCCTCTGGTTCTGCCCAGCTCTGCCTCCTTCCCTCCAGCTCCACCATTGTCCTCATTGGCTTCACCCCGATCCCGTGAACGAGGGGTTCTGCTTTGGCCCTCCAGTCCAGCAGAGTCATCCTGGGTCTTTGTCTCCTGGGCTCTGCCTGGGTCTCCACCTCTCCCACCTCCACTTCAGTCGGTTGTGCTCCTGACTCCTCTCTCCGTCTGTTCCTCCATGGGTCTTCATCCTAATGACTCTGCTCTGGGTCTCCTCCCTCCAGTCCACTCCCTACAACAGCAACACACTTGTCATCCAATCACAGCCCACACTCAGGCTCAGACTCACACATTCCGGGGAAAAAAAGCTTTTGAAACATTATAAATGTGATTACTGCCACTTTTGATTACTTTATTGCGTCCTTTCAGAATAAAAGTAGGCTATTACTTCGCTTTAATTTCTTTAAAATGTAGTGTGTAATGTTACAAAAGCTGTATGTATCAGATAAATGCTATTATTTTGAACTATGGTTTGTGTAATGTGACTTTTTGTGTGACCTTAAACTTTGTTTTAGAATTAAATTGTACATAAGGTGAAGCAAAACAAACGTGCTTATGTCTGAGAACCTTTTAAACACTCAAGAACCTGAAATGACATACACTGTGTGATACAGTACAAATATTTTGAGTGTTCCTGTAAAGAACCACAATTGTCCAACATTTTTCTTTTCTGAAGTTGGCTTTTAACTGGTAAAGTTACATGGGTATATTAATTTTGATGATATTGTGCGTTGCTTGTTAGATTACAGGTTCCTGTACAGCTACTGTCCAGGGCCCGAGTGGAGTGTGATGTGCAGGGGATGCTGTGAGTATGATGTCATCCGCTGTAAATGTCCTCTTCAGGGGTCTCCCGTGGGGTACGCCGTGCCCTGCTGTCGTAATGCGGTGAATGAGTGCGATCCCTGCATCATACATCCAGGTGAGCAGAGATTTCTCAATATTCTCCTCTTGTGATGTTTGTCTTGGTTTGTTCATGGTTTTTCACTCTTAATGGCTTCAGTTGATCCTATATTTTTAATCATTTTGGTGCTCACAAGCAATCAAACCCCTGGCAGAAATATTTTAGTCCATCCAGGTTTATGATTTGTTAATTTTTGTTATCATTTTTCTCTGGAACCTTGTAAACAAAGAAAAGAGTCGGTGCATTCCTTCCATTTGGATTTAATGGTTAAAGGGTTTTTTCCCCCCTGAGCCATAATGCTGGTCACATTCTAGACCGTGTGATGTCTATAAAGGATTTTACAGCAACAGGAAAATTAAATTGTCTGGCCTTAAATATGTCTGTACATGCGAACAGCCAGATGTTTGTAATCTAAAGAAATGCCTGAACTGCTGTTTACAGTCAGAAATGTGGATTCAGGCTCAGACTGTGTCAGTAGGTCTCATAGGTTCTCCTGTCTCAAAGTGTCAGAAACATGTCTTGGCCAAAATGTGAGGCAGCAGTGCACCATTCATACAAGAAAATCACGCAAGCTCTTTGCATCTTCTTTGCTCGTTCGTAAACCTAAACCCAATCTCCAATGCCTCGTTCTAAGTCTAGGGCTTCTGCTTTTTCCACTTCAGGCTGCAGCATATTTGAGAACTGCAAGCGCTGTAACAACGGCACATGGGGCCCGAGGGACGATTTCTTTATAAAAGGGCAGTACTGTGCAGAGTGTCGCCCAGGATGGTCCGGTGGGGATTGTTTAAGTAAGTTCCTTACAATCTGCAGTGTTCATGCATTCAGAGTAAAATTCATCTGGGAATTTCTTTCTCTGGAACATGACTGTGAAATGCTCAGTCTTTGCTTGCTTGTTTAAAGATGATTTGTGAAATGCTCGTATTTTAATGCAGTTTTTCTGAGGCTAAACCGGCCGTGTTGAAGTAGGCGTTGATCTTCTTCTGCGGGGGTGCTGTTTTATCCGCTTTGTCGTCATAGTTCCCCACTTTGAAAAACGAGTGGTTTGCAGAGGCTGGTGTCAATAAAAGCTTTTATTGGACTAACAAGAACGTTCTCAGTTCTGAAACTTACAGGATATTCTTATAATATCATGACCTCTTAGATGTCAAAAGCTTTAAGGAAAATTTGATTTCTCAGTTCATCACCCCTCTAAGAGATACGGTGTACAGTCATACCACTTATAACAGCATTTTAACACAAATAATTATGGGGATAAGAGATATAGATTTCAGATTAAACTGTTTTAAATTCGTACCTGTTTGTATCTTATAGTAACAATAGTCACAAAATGGCCGCCGCTGCGTTTGTACGAAACAAGAGAGAGCGAGTACACGATACTGGATTCGTGAATTTGAGTTTTAATATTTTATTTGCTCACTAAATGAAAAACATCCACAAGCGTATAGCTCTGCTGACTTCAGTAACCCTGATGAGCCTGTGTTTCTGTTTTCAGCGTGGGAACAATATACCGCTGGATCAAGTATTCCACAGAGCCGTGAAATAAGCGTCATTATTCTTAATCTCTTTGCTCATATTCACTCTCACCAGCTGAGATGTAAAAACATACAAATCTTCCATGTGGAGCAGCTTTAAGGCTAATTCACACACACACACACACACCGACAGAAGCCGACCAGCGCTGCCAATCACCAGATTAGTGTGTCACTTCTCTGACATTCCACAACCCAACCAACACAGACTGAACATGTTCAGTTGCCGAGAAACAAGCGCTGAGCTCTAGCTGACAGGAGCAACACGTTGATTTGACACAACTTGACAAACGTCCTCTCCAAAGGGAGTCAATCTCGCCAACAGAAAACACCTTGTTTGTAGTCCTGCCATTTGTTTCTTTAACGTTACTCACATTATTCACCACATTTACATAAAGCCACCTGCTGCCTACTTTGGCTCGCCATCAAACAAAGCTAGTTATGTGTCTGAACTGACGTCATAGTTAGCTAAATTACAGTGTTTACAGTGCCTCCGGACACTCGCTGGTGAGGTGTTTTCTGTTTCCGACACACGCTCTAAGCGTAGACCAATCACAACAGACTGGGGGCAGCTGACCAATCAGAGCAGAGTTTTAAAAGATAATGTTTCTGTACCTGTATTTTGGTTTTACTGTGTACATTTGACATCAATTTGACTAACTATGTCTCTACCTTTTGAGCATGTGGAGGGATGATTCATAAGAGGCAGGGTCACCTGGTGCTGGAGAGTTACCCAAACAATGCCCGCTGCGAGTGGACGCTGAAAGTGGACCGGCCTTACACCATTGATCTGAGGTGAGATGAGAACTAATATTACACACACACGCTGGGTTTTGCATGTTTTATGGGACTTTCCATTCTGTAACCTTTTTTCCCAAATTCTGTAACCTTTTTTACGTTCACTTTTTAAACCTCTTTTCACTTCAGCAATAATTTTCCAAGTGTCTTCTTTGACAAGAGATCAAACTTTAGTCTGTGCTCTAAATAATACAAGATTTACCACAGTTTAAGTTGGAAATTTAATTTTTAGGTCTATGCTTAAAAAGTGAATTAAATGGATTATAAATACAGCGAAAATATAATTTAGTACCATAAAATCCCCTAAAAATACAAAATATTAAATAAAAAAAATTATCGACCTAAAATATAGTAACTTTGTTTAATTTAAAAAAAAATAATAATAATTCTGTCATTATTGACCGACACGCGAAGAGGACCAGAGGGCTATATATATTTAACCCTAGACCTACCCATCAGAATATTCGTTGGGAGATTTTGTCTTTAACTTACAGTAATGAACACCTGAATTCCCCCACACACAGACGTTAACTTAGCTATGGGAACATTCTCAAGGCTTCTATATACAGCTAATATAAATACTGTTACTTAACCCGAACAGAAAACGTTTGCATTTTTACAATAAAAAAAAATCTGTGTGCATTGTATTTCAACAAATAAGAACACCCCCAAACTGAGTCTTTTAGCTCATTCCCAAGTACAAATTTGTCCCCTAAATATGGTTTTAGGTAAGTAGGTACATGAGCAAACACACACACACACACACACAAAAAACATGGGGAAACAATTTACTTGGTCTTAGTCCTATCTTTCTAGTGAGTTAAATATCGCGAAACACTGAGAGAGAGCTGTTTTGTTTACACTGTTTTATGGGACGTAGTTACAGTGGCCCTTATTTATCAAAAGTGCGTACACCAAATTTCCAGCGTACACCCAAACCCACGGTGACTTTGAGATGTATCAGTATGGACGTTGGCGTACGGCACGCTCAGCTACATGTACGCACGTTTTGAGTTACTGCGGAAATGCGCAGAAGAACAATTCCTAACACCACAAAACATACTGACAAACTAAATGATATCATATATTATGACCCACTGTAAAAACAACATCAACATAGTAATTATGGACTTCAATGTTTCATTTGTGTGACTTTACCAAAGCATTTGATTTGTAAGCATACGTATTCCTTCAGTTGCGAGCCTGTGCGCTTTACTGACGTTTCAGGGTTCGCCCCGGCAGGTGCACACAGACTCATAATGAAAGGCGTTCAATGACCAAAAAATAATTCAGACTTTCTACATTCTTCTTCTTTCAAATAATAATAATAATACAAATAATAATAACGACATTCTTCTTCTAAATAACAATAAGCGTCTAATGACGATCGTTTTCAGCCGTGGGATTTATCAAGGGCAGGTATCGCGTAATAATAATAATAAATAATAATAATAATAACCTACATCTGGATAATAGCGTACACCTGGATTTCAAAGGAATGCACAGCTTCAGAAATCAGGTGGTGAGAGGAGTGTACGCATAATCTTACGCCAACATATACGCCTGTTTTTACGCAAGAATGATAAATGAGGGCCGTTGTACTTGCATAGATAAGACCTGAGTAAGATTAATTAACTACAAGTATTTACTTTAGAGTTGAGTTTGGTTTAAGGTTAGTTACTTGTAATTGTGTATAATTTAGTGTTATTACTATGATATGTACATGTAGTAGCATGTAACCACTAACTTTAAAGTGTTAACGCTGTTTTTTTTTTTATTATTAAATACAAAATACAAGGTAACAGCAGCTTGTTTGCACTAAAAACTTTTTTTTTAAACTGTCTTTAAGTTCAAATCTTTATTCCATAAATGAATTCTCTTTGACAGACCTATGGAACATAGCAGTCTCTTTCATGCTCAGACAAGACTTCAGTGCCAGGAAGCCTTATGTTTTCAGTGCAAATGACAGTTTACAATCCTAATGATTATCCCATCGTGGATTCTGCCGGCACTGGGAGCCTGTAGCTCTTACTGAACCAAACCTTGCAAAAACATACATATTTGTAAGTTTAGACAGATCTAGAAATATACAATATGCACTATGTACAAATGTACAAATACTGCCAATAACTTTAAACAACACAACTGTATATAGATATTTTTGAGCCGCTTATCCCTCTCCTATCTCTAAACCCAGCGACTTGTTTTATTATCCTGATCCACTCATATCTCTTTGAGCATATATCATCCGAAATATGATGTGTCGCAGTTTCCACTCAGAGGAGTATGGAAAGCTATACAACTTATCATTCCTTACTTATGGAACCAAAGTTACATACAAAATATCTTCTGAAGACACTCGAGCCAAAGCCGTAGAAGAATCTCGAAGGGGACCTCTTCCTCATAGACCTTCGGAATAGCACCTCTTACCCAATGCAACATTCTTTGCTTGGTAGACACAAAACCTTTGCTACGATCACCAAAACAAACAAACAAATCTTTCACTCTTCTGTGACACAAAGGTTGGAGGAGAAGAACTGCAGTGTGGTTTTTCAACAACTTGAGCAACCTTGACTACATTGGGAGCAAAATCCATACAGGATGATCTCACGGATAAATCACCCATTTTAAACCGGGCTTGGCAACTCTGGCCCTCGAGACCCATAAACAATTAGCAAAACTTGTGAAATCTTTCACTCTTCTGTGACACAAAGGTTGGAGGAGAAGAACTGCAGTGTGGTTTTTCAACAACTTGAGCAACCTTGACTACATTTGGAGCAAAATCCATACTCACGGATAAATCACCCATTTTAAACCGGGCTTGGTAACTCTGGCCCTCGAGACCCATATCTGTGCCTCTACTGGAGGCTGACCATCTGGAACGGAGCCCTGAAATGACACAACAGCAGGGGATATCCGACACATGGCCGGGTCTAACACAAGGGGCCCGATGTGAGCAACAGGAGCACCACCTGTCATAATTACAGGGTCATAAACACCCAAGTTGTGGCCTGACTCTCATACTCTGAAGGTAAAGTTACATGGAATGTGAACTACTCAAGTTAAGACTTTTAAGCATCCTGAACATAATAATGTAATGAAAGAGAGAAAAGGATTGCTGTTGGTCCCATGTTTTACTACATTTCCACCTAACTTTGGTTACAATTAACATCAGATATCCAACAGAGATCAAGATAAATCTGTAGAATTGCTTATCATAGCTTCATGTTCCAACATCGGATCCCCAAAATCCTAACGCATGTGGTGTCTCGACAGCTGCAGAGCTAGAGTAACTGGGGAAAACTGAAGCCAAGAACAAAGTCCTTTCATCCTGAAATTCCCAGACAGTATGATAGCCTACACTATTAAGAGTGACCTGAGTGTGTTACTTGCACACCAAGCACTTATCACACTTATCATGTGTGTCTTCACTCATAATAAAGCGAGGACAAGAAACCTCAAACGTACAGAATTGCATCGCTTTCACCCTGAAGAGTAATAATCCACTTGATGATTCCGGAGAATAAGAAAATAGAAAATAAACTCGTTCAGATAGATCGACTTCCTGAGAAGATGAATCTGAAGAAAATCTGAGTGGAGACGGCTGTCACGGGTTGCTTTTGTAGAGAATCCAATGGAAGATGCATGAAGCAGATTGAATGAATGATATTGATTTAAAAAACACAAAGAGAAAACACAAGCAATACACAAATCTATGTAACGTTAACACGAGACAATGAAGGGCAGAGGGCTTAAATACTCAAGGCTAGGTGATTAACGAGACAAGGAATAGATGTGTAACTCATTAGGGACTTTGGCAACTAATGAACAAACTAGAACAGAGCCAAAAACTAACTCTGAAAACTAAATAAAACATGATTGTGACATCACTCCCCTGAGGAGTAGATTGAGGAAGACACAGAAGAGTCGACGACCAGGGAGGAGATGAAGGTGGAAGGAGTCAGAGCGGAGACGAGGCGGGAGGAGCAGGAGGATGACTCCCAGCAATGACATGAAGGTCCACGGAGCTGCAGGTGGAGCCAGAGCATTCATTTGCACATAGAGTCTGGCATCGCTCCATTGACGAGCATTAACTTCCTTGTAGGTCCAACCAATCGCTGACGTTTTGTTGTGACGTAAGACGACTCAGACTGGCACACGACATCAACATCATCGTTCTCAGCCACTCCCTCTGTTCTCTGATTGGCCCGGTAAGAAAATGACCAGAGAAAACCAAAGAATACAGCACAATCCCAGACGTAGTACTGAAGGGAAATTTAAATTGAGCGGAAGTATGTAGGAGGGCGGAGCCAGGCTGCACCCGCATCACAAATGTTAATGTTTTTCTATATTAGTGGTATATTCATATATTAGTGGTTCATCTGCAGGATTTTGGACACTGCCTCCCCAAACAGAACCATCCTGTGCCTGGAGTGTCCCAAAAGTCTTGTCTAGATACCCTCACTTTTGATCTCCAACACAGTTGATATAGAGTTGTAGTGAGTGCAACAGTCAGATGAATCTGACACATTCAGGAAGTCTGGCAGTTAATCACTCGCCCGCTGCGAGGAAGAAACGAACGTCATGTCAGTGCTCCAGCGTTTGAGAGCCAGGAAAACATTACCTCTCCATTCTAGAGAAAAACAAGACGGCTTTTGTCTCGAAACCTAAATTGGGATTATTGAAAGACAAGAACATTTTTTTTAAATATACTTTGTGTTCTCTATTTATATTCTACCAAGTTTGCATAAATAACATTTTTATGAGAGACGAGATGATAAACGGGTCAGGAAAGTAGTGGGACACTTGTGTGTTTGATTCTAGTGAATTGTAATAGACATAGTGTGCGCTGCCTTTCTCGTCCAGTGTGCAACTGCTTCTGAGGCTTCATGGTATCTGTGTTTTAAATGATCTTAAAATAAATGATGGAAAATGATGGAAATGATAAAAACCTTTACAAACCTTCCCACCCATTCGGTGTTACTGAACTTGTAGAGAATGCATTACGTCACTGTACCTGTCCATCGTCACCCAATCACTGCACATCAGGCCTGAATCCCGTCCTGAACATGTGTTCTCCGTGTCTCAGGTTCATGATGCTCAGCTTGGAGTTCGAGCACAGCTGTCAGTATGACTATGTTGAAGTGAGGGATGGAGACAGCTTGAGCTCGCGTGTGATTGGTCGTTATTGTGGAAATGAACGACCTCCTCCAATCAAAAGCACTGGCAGTTCCCTGCACATTCTTTTCATCTCAGATGGTTACAAGAACTTTGATGGGTTTTTTGCCACCTACCAGGAGAGCTCAGGTAAGACCGATTAAAGACAATATTATCAGTGCGCTCTTTAAAAATATAGTTCATTACATTTGCTTTCAATCATTTAGCAGATGCTTTTATCTTAGGTGATTTACAATTGAGGAATACCATAGGCGATTCATCTGAAAGAGGAAATACTATTCTGAACGATGTCTGAAGCTTTGTATTGCTAGTATAAACTGGAACAGGGAGAGATTAAGGAACAGTCGGACTATATGAAGAGTTCAGATGCAAAAGCCTCTAAATGCCATTTGAAATTTTCTTCTTTAATGATGATTTTTTATCAAACTTCATCATTATTCATCAAAATTTCAAATGGCATTTAGAGGCTTTTGCATCTGAACTCTTCATATATTAGTTTTTCAGCATGATGCAGTTTAATGTTTGTGGAAGGGGTGAGTTTTGAGCTTGTTTTAGTTATTGTTATCTTTTATCTAACCCTAACCTTCACCAGTGTAAATGCTCTTGTCCATTCTTGGATTTAGGAAACTGGTATTCTGAACAACATGCCTATAATACTACTCCGCTGCATAGATATCTGTTCAACAGTCGAGGCTAAACACTTTTGCTGGGGCTGTTAAGAGGGGAAAAGAGAAATGAACAGTCCAGTCCAGTCCAAAATGAATCTCCACGGCCAGAGATAAGACTCCAAAGAAGCTCAAAGGAAATCCTCAGCTCGCACGCCACCAGCTGAATGATTCCTCCAGACTCTGTAAGGTCATGAGCTCTTCTGTGGCAGATATTCACTCACCTAAAGGATTATTAGGAACACCACACTAATACTGTGTTTGACCCCCTTTCGCCTTCAGAACTGCCTTAATTCTCCGTGGCATTGATTCAACAAGGTGCTGAAATCATTCTTTAGAAATGTTGGCCCATAGTGATAGGATAGCATCTTGCAGTTGATGGAGATTTGTGGGATGCACATCCACTCCCGTTCCACCACATCCCAAAGATGCTCTATTGGGTTGAGATCTGGTGACTGTGGCGGCCATTTTAGTACAGTCAACTCATTGACATGTTCAAGAAACCAATTTGAAATGATTCCAGCTTTGTGACATGGTGCATTATCCTGCTGGAAGTAGCCATCAGAGGATGGGGACATGGTGGCCGTAAAGGGATGGACATGGTCAGAAACAATGCTCAGGTAGGCCGTGGCATTTAAACGATGCCAAATTGGCACTAAGGGGCCTAAAGTGTGCCAAGAAAACATCCCGCACACCATTACACCACCACCACCACCAGCCTGCACAGTGAATCAGTCGGCCCATTCTCCTCTGACCTCTCGCATCAACAAGGCATTTTCTCCCACAGGACTGCCGCATACTGGATGTTTTTCCCTTTTCACAGTAACTGAGCAGATTGTGAAATACTCAGACCGGCCCGCCTGGCACCAACAACCATGCCACGCTCAAAATTGCTTAAATCACCTTTCTTTCCCATTCTGACATTCAGTTTGGAGTTCAGGAGATTGTCTTGACCAGGACCACACCCCTAAATGCATTGAAGCAACTGCCATGTGATTGGTTGATTAGATAATTGCATTAATAAGAAATTGAACAGGTGTTCCTAATAATCCTTTAGGTGAGTGTATAGTCCTGCTGTACTGTCTCCAGTGTGAAGTGAAAAGTTCCTGTTTGCTTGAGTGCACATCCAAGCCAAAGCTTTGTTCAAGGGTTGCTGAATGCGTCTCTCAGACACTCAAAGAATTCATTCAAGAAAGAGGAAACACATGTAACCATGCTGCATGATAGTCCCGTTGTACAAAGTCTTACACGCACTGTGTAGATATTTAGTATCAGGTTTTGTGGATGATGTGTGCATTACAGCCAATGCCCAAAATCCCCTTCGGCTGCAGATTTCTCCAGGCCTTGCCTTTACAAGCTCTCCTAACACCGCCAACACTTCAGCACACAGAGCAACTAGTTTTTGATCAAGGCCATATTTTACAATGAAGCAGGAGATATATTTTTATGTCTCACCTGGCAGAGATGAGAATTAAATTATCTTGACTTTTACACCCTCTAGTGGATTGAAGTATCGCACAAGTACAGGGAAGAATTGAATGTCTTCGTGGTTGGACACATTCTCAGGTAATGTGAGAAAGGAGCACTTGTCCAAATCACGCTGAACTTCAGATTCGCAAGTTTTCTTTACAAAAAAAAAAAAAAAGAAATCACTGACACTGAGATTAGAACACTTACTTTTAGCAGCGTCCACATGCTTTTGTCGTGTGCACATGCTGCATGATGTGGCCTCGGTGAGCAATAGAAAAACAAGCTCTACAAATGTCACATCTTAATTTACTTGGCTGAAATTTATGTTCAGTTAGCAACACGCTGATAAGACCTACGGGTGAGCAAATGTTGAACACGTTCATGGTGGAAGAACATCTGAGCTGGGAAACAAAAGTGCAGCTGTTTGCATTGATGGGGCTTTAGCAGTGACTAAGTCGTCAGCCGGACACAAGCCTTAAATCTTAAAGCCTTAAAGATCACAGCCATTCGTTGTAAGCTCTAATGTCATGCATGATGTGTTGTAAGCAGTTCATTAAGCCAAGACTGCTTAATTCGTGTCTCATAACTAAACAGTGCACAAACATATGAGGCAGCCGATCGGCAACTATTCCATGGTCATGCCTTTTTATTGGAGCAGCACATAAACCTGACCTGGCACTGTTCTTTCCTGACCAACAGTGGAAACTGGCAAATACTGGCCTACCTTACAGGCATTTATAGTAGTCTCAGTGGACTACGTCTGTATTCAGGAGTCTTATTTTCCAAAATTGGAGGAAAGTGACAAAATAAATGCATTCAGGAGTTTCCAAATCCATCATCATTTTTTGGACACAAACGTAATTCGAGTGGACTTCATTCTCAACACCATTAACACTCACCTTACACAATTGACCAATGGATAAGCCACACCCTCAAACGCGATGAGCCAATCACAGTGAAAGCTAACCCAATACACTCTCTGCTTCCTTGTCCATTGAAATGCATTGCAGTTAGTCAGTTTTCATTCGTTTTTTAATACTTAAAATTTTATGCTTAAAATTGTAATTTTAAGTATAAAAAGGTCAAAAGGTGTGCATGGGGTACTGGGGCGGCAGTGGCTCAGTGGTTCATGTAGATTGTCTACAAAACGAAAGGCTGGTGGTTCAATCCCCGGTTCCACCTGACCAAGTGTCGAGGTGTCCATGAGCAAGACACCTAACCCCGGCTGCTCCCGACGAGCTGGATGGCGCCTTGCATGGCTGACACCGCCGTCGGTGAATGGGTGAATGTGAGGCAAATGTAAAGTGCTTTGGTGACCATTGGATCTATGAAAGCGCTATATAAATGCAGTCCATTTACCATGCAACTCCGACACTAGGTTCCCGAGAGGCTGGGCGACGTGTGTATTTTTGACCCTTTCCCAAGCCCACATCTCAACCGAGATAAGTGTCTGCTCTGGATTAAGTAATGCAGTAGACCACAACACCAACTAAACGTGGATAAATTAAACAAGGATTTCTACTTCTGTTCTAAGTTAAGTCAACAACCTTTTTGAAGTTAATCTTTAAAGTCTCTAATGTAATGTTAAGCTAACATTAGACTAACATTAGAAAACGTTAACATTAGCTTTTAGCTTTGTTGTACATCATATCACTTAGCTTCATTAACAGATCTGTAAATAACCGAGATAACAAATGTTAAAGGGATAGTTCACTTTGAAATTAATTTTTGATATGTTTTATCTTACCTCAAGGGCATCCAAGATGTAGGTGTCTTTGTTTCCACAGTATTTTCAATTTTGACATTTTCCGGTCAAGCCAGTGTTGTCTGTTAGTCTTATAATGCAGGTATGGGGGTCCACCTCAAAGAGCAGCACAGAGAAGTCCAAATTAAACATGATTTAATGACTCGTAAATGTAAGTACACATTGATGGCCTAAGACACGAAACGAGCGGTTTGTGTGAGAAAACAAACAGTATTTATATCGTTCACATCCAAGTGATCTGAATCAGTTATCCAATCTCCCCATCCTTGATTATAGTAACATCGTGGGAGCGAGAGATAATGGCTACGGGATGATGCCTTGGGTGGAAGAGCCATTGGCTAGCCATCTTTCACCCGATGCTGCATCATCCCTAAAGACCCCGGTGCTGTCCACCAAACCCTGCCGTGATGCATCTTCTTTGGTGGGCAGGGCTTATATGGCTGTAGGTAGGGCTGGTGCCAGTCTGCACACTATGGCGGTGCTGCAGCCTTACCAAGCGGACCTTCTTAAGGATATTTATGAGGGCGAGCGACCAAACACATTGAAGATATAGCTGAATTGTGTAAGGCTACCGACTTAGGCTAGAGACACCTCTGGCTGAATTTATCAGGCATCAAACCAAAAGACAGGGCTTTCCTCCTTGATGCCCAGATTTCTCCTTGGCATGTTTGTCACAGTCGTCGACAGGTTTCAGGAGGTGAAAAAACAGTCAGCGGCCTTTAAGCAAAATCTCCCTCGCTGCTCAAATCCTAAGAAATCTGCTTTAAGTGGGCAGCCACTGCCATCCACCAGCTCAAACAGAGAGCGTCGCCTCTAGAGCCCCTGCTCAATGAGCATTAGGGCATAGACAGCGCTCTCAATCAAAGCCTCAACAAAAGCATGGCAACCTGAGGGCCATCTTGCAGGCAAAAAAGGCTTCGGAAAGAGATTCATGCAAACGTAGGATCTCTTCGGGCTGCCCCGATCGAGGTCGTCTGCTCCGCGTAGCCCAAAGGAAATCAATGTCGCGTTCCGACGTCAAGTGCACCTCGGGACACATCAGTTTCCAGTGAACGAGTGCTGCACTGTGTTCCTCCACCGGGCAGGGTGTTCGGGTTTTACTTCATAGTTCTTCAAGAAGATAATAGATATTCAAGAGGTTCAAGATCCTCACTATTCCCATCATCATGAATCAAATTCAATCCGAGGATTGGTTTTTCACAATAGATCTGAAGGATGCCTAATTCCACGTTTACCAAACGAATGGATGCAGCTCTAGCTCCACTGAGGCTTCAAGGTATTATTGTTATTATTTTGACGACTGGCTTATTATGGCCCAGTCACAAGTGCTGGCAGTTCAGCATCAAGATGTAATCCTTGCCCGCATCCAGAGCCTGGGGTTGAAACTCAACACAAAAAAGGCGTTTTGGCACCAGCTCAGAGAACCACATTCTTGGAAGTTGTGTAGGACTCGATGTGGGCACAATTGGCCAAGGTGACCAGGATAGAGCTAGGCCAAGCCATCAATGTGAATTTTTTTTTTGAGAGTGTCAGGGCTCATTGCAGCAGCGTCCAACACGATCAACACGATCACGCAGCCAATGAGAGCTCTCACCGACTGGAAGTCCACACTGAACATGGCGACATGTAAGCATACGGCCCAATGAAACACCCGACCTGTGTGCTACTACAGCACAAGACAACAAGAAAGCATGCTGCCGATTATAAAAAGCATTGTCCATGTTGGGACCCTCATGTTTCGGACGACTACATAACATCTGAATAGCAGTTTTCTTGCTAATGATCATTGCAATTTTGTCTTTCAAGAAAACTTATTTTGATATCCTGCACAAATTAATGTATATACTGTTGTGTATGTTTAGGTGTGTCTACAGTTTACAATGTATTAATGACGGAACAGAATGACTAACATGTAACTGTATCTGTTTGTGTAGAATGCAGTTCCTCTCCATGTATGCATGACGGCACCTGCATCTTACACTCCTCTCATTCCTTCCACTGCGCCTGTCTGGCTGGATATACTGGAACGAGATGTGAACATGGTGAGAGCAATCGTTTTAAAAGAGAAATGTAACATTTAAGAGGATGCTTATCCATGTAACAGGGTTTAGGTATAGACTCGGATTGCAGCTGATTTGTCGTTGTTGTTTTAAATGTCTCTCATGCCATGTATTTTAACCTGTTACATTTGTACGTGCATGATCTCTCAGTGCTTGAATGCAGAAGGCCTTTGATTCCAGCCCACGGGACTGCAGTGCATCTGGATGTAAGGGTTGGAGGACATGTTCTGTTCCAGTGTGACCCTGGATACACATTAAATGGTTTCCAGATGGCCGCCTGTCTGCTGGATGGGTCATGGAGTACACCAACTCCACAGTGTGGTGAGCAACTGAAAACTCATTATGAGGTATAGATGCAGGGCTGCAGGGCAATAATAATAATGATGATAATTCAATTCAAATATGTTTTAATCAGTTTCTCTTAAAAAGTGTCATCATATGCAGCCTCTATTCAATATGTGTTCGCTAATATAGTTGAAGCATGAATGTATCTTTTCACCAGTGCCTGACCACAACTGTGGCATTCCTCCAAAGCCAGAGCATGGTGATCACTTCCTTGTTTATGGACCAAATGATATACTTATTGCTACACAGTATTTTTGCTTTAAGCAATACAAACTGAATGGAGCCCCTCAGAGAACCTGCCTGGGCAACAACACTTGGAGTGGGACGGCACCAACCTGTGTCAAAGGTACTGGACTCAGAATTTAGCTAGAAATCTATTTATTGAATGTTAATTAGTATTGGCAATTAAGTTGTTATTGCTGTTGTTTCTTCAAGAGCTATAGGTCCAGAGATGAAGTTCTTTAAAGTCTTCTTCTGGTGGCACTGAACTACTAAATCATGCTTTAATTTGGTTTTTAACTGAAATTAAAACCATTTCTTTGGACATTTTTTGGCAAATCTGTGGGTGACTAGATGGCCATTAGTCACTGCTTATTACAACTACCTATGCTCTCAAGCATACAAGATCTTCACTTGCTATGTTTCCATCCACCTACTTTTATGCATCGGGGTATCGCATAAAAAACACTGGATGAAAACTCTAAAAATGCACTTTAAAAACTTTGCACTCAATTGAGGGAGATAAAAAAATATCCGATAACAAAACCATAACTACATAAACTACGATGGAAACACACCTATCGATGATCAAATAAGTCACGCGAGTTTGCATGACTCGTGACATAAAATCATTATTGCTATATTTATCATTAGTGTGTATGCTAGGTCTGGTTGCTATTTTATTTCTGTATTTTCATGAGCACTTTTTGTTGGTAGTGCAGTGCTTTTATTAATCCTTTGAATTTCTTCTACTTACAGAGCTGGACATCATTTCTGGAGCAGATAATGAACGAAACAAAGGCAAAGACAAACACAAACATACTGGACAAGATGAAGTGGGCCATTCCAAGAACAAAACTTCAGAAGAAGAAGAAAATGAGTCAAACCCAGACAAAGATAGACCAAAAAAACCTCCCGCTGGAAATGATGATGGGGGACTAGATGTGGAGCTGGGAAAAGATATTGGCAAAGATATTGGGAGTAAATTTGTACAAAAGCCTAAAGTTGAAAATAAGGAGACTGACAGCAACACGATTGGAAAGAAAGAAACTGGAGGGGATAATGACAATCTTAAACTCCTTGACAAAGATGGACACCTAAATATTAGAGAAAAAGATGGCAGTCCAAAAAAAGATTTGGACATGGATTTCATAGATATTATGTTGATAGACAATAATCAGACGGCAAAGGACAAAACCAAAGATGGCGGCATGGACAAAGGACAAAAAATAACCGATGGACCCCAATACACCATAAGCCTGACCGAGGATGAGAAAGAAAACATTCTTTATGAAATAGATATCACACATAGAGGGAATAACACTGAATTTTTAAATAGGAATGACATAGAAGAAAATTTGGGGACACTGCTTCAAAAAGAAACCAAAGAACTCCCAACATCTACGACTAGGAATATCAGCTCAGGAGTCATACCTACAGCGATCAATATCAGCACAGCAGTCATACCTACAGTGATCAATATCAGCACAGCAGTCATACCTACAGCGATCAATATCAGCACAGGAGTCATACCAACAGCGATCAATATCAGCACAGCAGTCATACCTACAGCGATCACAACTACCGCAAGAGTGGCTATGAGGGTTAAACCTATGGAAAAGGTCAAAGTGGATACAGTAAATGAAAAGACAACAGAGCAAGTTTTGCAACAAGAAACAAATAGAGAATCTCAATCAAACCTAAAGAATGAAGGTGAATATCCACAAGCATCTTATTGAAACTCTATGAACATCTTTACATTCATTAGACCGTTTCTTTGAGTTAGAATGAAAACAAACACTATCTATACAGAGAAATGAACGCAACTGATAATATGTTAAGTGCTGGTTGAACATGTGTGAGAATGATATGCAAACACACGCTGACTGACGGGGAACACGTTATCCTTTAATTCAGACCAAATGCAATGATTGAAGGAACATATTATGGTCCTACGCCTTCCACATGTGATATACAGTATATATATATATATATATATATATATATATATATATATATATATATTTGGGTGTGATGAGATTTCTTGTCGAGTGAAAAGCGATATCTTGCGATATAGCCATGGTGGAGCGTGAGAGTGAAATTAGCATAGAAAATACACCATGGCCTCCACTGTTGTTTCGCTGTTTTTATAAAAATAAAAACCCTTGTAAGCTATTGTAAACGTTTACTCTGCTCATCCAGCAAGAGTTGCAGTCGCACACAGGGCAGTAGGAATCACAGTTCACTGATCGACAGAGCCTAGACGTCCGATCAATGCCTTATCTTGTAGAATGTATGCTCAACGCGGCTGCTCCCAGATACACAGAATACGTGCGATCGTGAATCCCAAAGGGAAAGTCAAACGTGAGCTAATTAGGCTGCATACAATAGCCTGTCTCCCAATATCAAACCCTCTCTGGACTGTGTAGTTGTGACTCTGGTCTCTGAGTGCACTTTGAATATTGAGAGAGTACTTTGATTACGGTTTGCAGTTAATAAGACTAAGAGAAAACTGTATTTTATTTTAGTTAGTGACACAGTTTTTATTTCTTTGTTCAATTTGTGGAAAGGGGTTCAGTTAGGAAGTTCAACACAGCCTCAATCAGAAGTTCTGGAGTTCATGAACAGTAAGGTCTGAAGAGACTCATTTGAAGTCATACTTGAGAGAAGCCACTCAGTTGAGTTTGTGGCAGAACCTTTTTACAGTGCTTGTATATTGTTGTCTTTCAATACTTTTGATAATTCATACTTATAAAGTAGAACTAAAATTACATTCATTATAAGATTATTTGTTAAAATATTTTAAAAATGCTCCTGCAGACTATTTTTTCAAGTCATGATTTTTGTCATTGAGGATTTCTATTAAATATTATGCATATATGTATAAGTATATATACACATTTGGACCGCTCAAGATAGTGATTGCTATCAGGATATTACGAGACTTTCATCCAGCATAACAAAAACGGTTTATGTAGAGAATCACCTATTGCACCTTTAATTAGCAATAATTCAAAATTAAAACACTTAGCACACCAGGAGAATATAAAACGCAGGAGCGAAATAACCACTAACCAAAGACGTAGTGATAGATGTAAGAATAGACTAAACAGCAGTATACACTGACTAAATGAGTGAGGGGCAGGTGGACGCTAGGTCGACTAAGGAAATAATCACAGGAACTGGGAACACATAAAACTAAACCAAAACTGAACAAACCTGACGTTGGTTATTTTTAGTCGACCAAAAACATACAACACAACCAGTTTTGTCCGATTCCCGAATGAAATGAAATGATCCCAAAAGCATCATAAGTCTAAGTTGATCGTAGAGACCATTGGTGGCAATCTTTCTACAATCTACTTAGGCTTACGATGCTTTTGAGAATTGCAGCCCTGACAAATTAGCATTAGAATTGCATTTCTTCCCCCACCCCAACTTCTCATTTCTCAAGTCTTTCTCAGGTTTTTTATTTTTTTTTATTTTGTAGTAGTTGATACGTGGATGAAAATGTTGTGTGTTATCCAATGTTTAAAACTCTTGACTGGACAGATAGTAGCCTCTGAACAGTCATGTTAATGGGACTAATGACATGCATAGGCCACACATAAGTAATACACATGCTTTGAGCACTGTTACTGTACTCAGATCACCCAAACCCAGATAACAATAACCATTGAAACCATTGCAATGTTTACATTTTCCACTCTCTCACACTTTCTCTTCTCTGTCTCAGGGGGTGAAGGGAGACTGTGTCCTCGACTGGCACCATTGTATCATGGTTACTATGAGTCAGTACCTGGCCTCACTCCTGAAACAGTGGAGTTCTTCTGCAACCAGTCGTATGCTCTGAGTGGCAGCCATCGCAGGACGTGTCAGACTAATGGCTCCTGGTCTGGCATACAGCCCGTCTGCATTAGAGGTCAGTGCAGTCTTACAATTTCTCTCTTTCGAATGTATAAAAGGGGGAAATTCACTACGAATGAATTGGAATAATTGAAAAACACATGATTAAGAGCCATTATGTTGAATATTTGTTTTGATTCCACTGAAGTATGCCGGGTGAGCACCCTAAATTTCGTTGTACCCCCAAAAGTGCAATGACAATAAAGGCTATTCTATTCTATTCTATTCTATTCTATTGTTTGACACTGTGGGTCTACTTAGTATATACTGTAAATGAATACGTATAAATGCTAAATGAAGTCACAATCACCTTGTTGAAAGCCCACCAGCGGATGGACATTCTCAAATGATTCCTAGTCCTGAAATTGACACGCAAGCTGGTGTTCGGATGTGCCCATTGAAACACTCTCGGCCTAAGGACATGCCACTGGGCTTTCTGTATGCACCAATAAAAACTGCTGGCTTGGGAATTCCAAATTTTGGGACCTCAATTCCATTACTACTGAAAGCTGGATTAGGCAAACTCCTCTCGCGAAATAACTCCATCGAAAGAGCCCTGACTGAACAACCATCTTTTAAGACAATTCCGCGCAAGATAAATCTTGGTTGGTTGGTAAAGAAACTGCAGAGGAAGCAAAGACAGAGTGGACGAAACAGCTGGATGGGAAAAACTGAATCAAGATGAATAGAACAAGTTATCACAGGCTCGAAAAACTTAGCAATGTCTTCTGCCGTCTTCATTTACAGAGGTTTTAACTTCGCGGGGTGTGCTGAATATAAAAGCAAAGGCTGCCAGAGGGAGGAACAAGATGTTGGAAAGATACAAGATGTCAAGAGGCCTGACACACAAATGAGACATTAAATCACATTCTCTAGGTGTGTGAAGTAACCCACGATGCAAGATGGACCCGACATAAACGGGTAGCAAAACAAACGGAGAAAATTCGGAGGGTAGAACCTATAATAATAACTACGACAACAAGCTTCATAAAACCTGACATAATGGTAGATGATGGCTGTACCCTTGATGTATCCATAGTAGCAGTTTGTCGATGGAAAACAGTTATAAGTTGAGGATTGTAAAATATGGCTCCCCAGAAATCGTCGCTGTTCTTTAGTCATGGACTGGAACCAGCGCCCCGATCGAACGCCACCCAGCGATCATATCAAGTAGGAGTCTGATGTATGGCCCTTCAGGGGAGATGTGTGGCCCTTCAGTTCCACAGGTCTCGCCTGGAAATACTATGATCTATATACACGAGGAACTTGAAAACTTACGGAAAGTACCTTGGCATCATTCTAGATGACCTGCAAGAGCAGCGACGACCTCGCCACAGTGTACTATTAGCACCTCTTTAGGCGTCTCAGGCTCAAGTGGAATGCCATTGCCACCACTAATGATGGAGACTTGATAACTTGATGTCAATTGCCAGAGAGTAAGAGAAGTCATGTGTATGGAGGGAAGCACAACATTTGTTTATAGTGTCAGGACATGTGCCTGTGGGATTACTATGTGTTTGTGTATCGGAACTGTGAGTTTAAAATGACATCTTGAGCTTTGTTATAAATAAATTTGATAAACTCAGTACTGGACTGGAAGTGTGTGTTGTTTCTGATGTGTGAGATCGAACAACACCTCAGTTGCCTGCTATAGATTGCAATTTCGACAATCCTGTAAGATCATTACAAATATCAGGGCAACATGGTCTGATGTCGCTTCACATGGTTCTGCTCTGCACCAACCACTTTAGTGTCTGGTTAAGTTAGACTTTCGCACTGAAACTTACAATGTGCACCCAAGTGTGATAACAGACTAAAATACGGATTTTCACTTTAAAACTTTTGGGGGTGATTAGAAGGTTATTATAGACAGAGACTTGTGGGCAAATGTTTCCCAGATTCAAAGATTACTACACTTTTCATAAGTAATCCTGAGAATTTTTATGACCACAGACCAATCAGGACCTCTGAAAAATGTCTCACCTGAAAGACTATAGTGTGCAGTGTTACTCTACTGAGGCATGAGGACGTACAGCGAGACGCCTCCTGTTGGCCTCACCCGCACCTTAGTTTTCCCAGCAGTTTCCAGTCCAGATACTGACCAGCTCAACCACGTTTAGCTTCGATGGGAAACCAGGCGAGGGTTACAGAGCGATAGATATTGGCAAATGTAATTGAATTAAAGGGGTCATGAACTGGCTTTTTAAATTTAATGAACTGGCTTTTTAAACATAAGTCAACTTATGACGTTCGCTTGGTTTTTGCATTCAAAAACATCCAAATGAACCAGTAATAGGCCATTTTCTACCCTAGTTTTGAGGCTAGCTGAAAACGCTGGGTTTTTATGGGCGTCTCGCACTGAAGACTTGGAAGTAAACGCCCACTGCTGTGAGTAGGGGTGCACGATATTGAAAAAAAAATTATAATGCGATATCGATAATGAATATTGCGATATCGATATTAATTTAGATATTTTTAAAATATGAAAAATTACTAAAGTTATGGGAAAACGGAAAAATATATATTAATAACAATTAAAACAAATTCTTAGAACTCAAGGTTTATTTCAACAGACAGTCATATTGGACCGGTACAACATGAATAAATAAATAATAACCACGTCTACTACAGAACAGGACATGTTTTACTGGTTGTACAGTATAAAATAAATAAATGAGCATGTTAATAGAACAGAAAATGTTAGAAAAAATAAAATGAATCCAAAAAAAAAAAAATGTCAAGAGAAACAAGGCCCATCAACAACCGTGTATCCGCCTTTAGAGGGCAATTTGCACTTTCCCCGGCAACTCACAGGTAGACTACAGATTGCAAGTCAAAAAGACGAGCATGTCAACCATAGCTGGTCTAAGACGTGAACGATGAGCCGTCACTATGTTTCCCCCTGTACTAAATGTTCTCTCTGATGGGGAACTAGTTGCAGGAATACACAGATACTTTCTTGCCAGCTTGCTCAAAGTGGGGTAGCTCACTTTGTGACACTTCCACCAGGCTGACTGTCAATGGAGGGGGTGAGGAGGTAGCTATTGAGCTTTTTATCAAAAACATTTACCTTTCTTGCGATTTCTTTCATCTCTGATTGTACCCTGGTCGTGAGAATTGGGACGCGCTCCACACTGATATATTTAGTTTTAAATCTTGGATCCACAAAGGATGCCATGTCCAGCAGATCTTCTGTGGCCTGATCCCACTTGGCATTCAGGTACTGGAGGATCTTTGATTTGATGGACTGGGTGAGCTCAGTGTCCTCTTCATCTCGAATCAAAGCTTGAGTGTTCAGAAGATGAAGGACCGGTTTAACAGAAGATGCACTGACGTAGCTCTTCCCCGACAGTGCATCAGTGAAGTCCGGCAGGGGAGAAAGGGCCTTGTTGATCGATTCGAGAACGTCAATGTCCTGCCATGACGGTATCAAGTGCCTGTGGTTCTTGTCGGCCGAAAGAACTGAAGCCACCGCCTTCAGCTGCTCCAGCACCCTTTCAATCATGTGCTGCTTGGATCCCCATCTGGTTTGGCAATCTGTAACCAGTGCTTGCTTTGGAAGGTTGAGCTCCTTCTGTGCCTCTGTCAAAGCTCTCCTCTTCTTCCAGGAGTGAGAAAAGTGGCCCACAATCTTTTTGCACAGTCAATGCGAGCATCATCTTAAATTGCGTTTTCTAGAACTAAAATTAAGTAAAGACAAAATCAGAATGTTATATGAAATTTTTTCCTAAATAAACACCAAGTCATCACCAGTGGTGGAGAGAATTACTCTGTTAGAAGTAAAAGTCCTGCAAAAGTATGCAAGTATAGTGGTGGAAATTTTGATTCTTTTCAGAGACTCGTTCATTTTTAGTTCGTTCACCAAAATGATTCGTTCAGACTCGTTCACTGATTCGTTCAGTTGTTTTTTTTTCCATATACATCAGCAGCAGGTGCGGCAAAATGTGTTAACAACGTATTTACTTGTTACAAAAAAAAAACTGATTTGACTTTATTAAAAATTGTGCCCTATACTCATTTAATTGATAAAATAAGTCTAAATAAGCGATCAAAGTCTCAACACTCTTTTTATCTTTTAAATTACACTCTTTTCGGATGACCAAATCACAAGTGTTTTTTAATCTGTTTGCATACTAGGCAGGCTAGTTAACATTTTATTTGTTTGGTCATAACGAGTTAAACGAGGAGTTATTTTCTGTATGTTATGAATTGGGCGTTCACAGTACGGATACCTGCGCTTTGCATTCACTTTCTGCTGATTGATGAACTAGATTGACAGAATGGCCGACCTGGTACACGAACTGGGTATAGCAACCAGTTCGTTCAATTCGTTCAATTCGTTCACGAACGGGAGATCTCTCTCTCGTTCAGACTCATTCAGCAGAGTAGATCCAACCAATTACATGCGCCTTCTAAGCCCAAGCTGAAATGCTATTAGCTGACGTGAGTCACGTGACGCAAATGAGCTGGAATGACGTGACGCAAATAATCAATACTCTATTTTTTTTTAAAATGTTTCACAGTTTTTAAACAAACAAAAGTGCATGACATGACATATATATTTATTTTTTAAAGTATAAAACTGTTGAAACATAAAACAACAATAATAAAAATAAATAATACAAAATGCACACAAAACGACACCAGTGCTAGTGGTGCCACTCATATTGAAGTTAGCAGATTACCTGATGTAGTTTGTAGATTTTAGTAAAAACGAAAATTTTAAGCTGTCTTTTATTAAATTAAACCATCAGCTTGCACTGTTAACTTCGTCGTCATTATTATCTTGACGTTCAAACAACTGGTTCTTTCATTCACGAACGAGATGAATGTAACAGTTCATTGGACACGTTCAAACTCAAAGCAACTCAATAAAGGGCGTATTCGTTCACTAGATTCAACAAATCACATGCTCCGTCCTCGTTTCATACTCGAAGGCTATTGGCTCGAGGTTTAGTCACTCTTTGGGTGCTTCTCATTTCTTATTTGTGCATCCTCGTTTCCTTTCCTTGCTTCCTTTCCTTGCCTCTCAGCTCCACCCCCTGTAGGACGTGAGGGAAGGAAGCGAGGAAAGGAAAGGAGGACAGAGGAATCGAATAAAAGCTTTTTTATATACATTGGAATACTTGATCACTCGAGCGTCACTCCACAGTGTCATCAGCAGCGCTAAAAGGATCTCCCCTTATGTTGTTGAAGTTTGGTAATTCATAATAAATAATAATAAAGATAGACTATACTGTTGAAATATCTGAGATGTGTGGTTTATATAAACTGCAAAGGTAAAGTATAAATTAAAATGATTGTGACCGATGTGAAGGGGGAGGAGAATTGACACGTGCGTCACGTTTAGTCAATATAACAGTTCCGCGTAGGATGCACCTGTGTATCCTCGCTTATGACTCCTCAGGAAGCCTCCTCACTCCTCGATCCTCGACTCCTCACGGTGCAATTAGAGAATTGAGATGTCCTTCAAGATGGCTGAGCTCGATCGGTTTCCGGGTCATAGGAGGGAGGACGGAGGAGCGAGGAGACGAGGAGGGATATTGAGAAGCACCCTTTGTCTTTGACAGATGAAACGGGCCACAGAGCTACACGGTTCATTGAGCTGGTTCATCAATAGCGGCGCGCAGTGGTAGAAGGGGGAATTTCAGTGAACGAGAAATATGAGTCAATGGATAACGTGAACGAGAATGATTCGTTCACCTAAAAGATTCGTTCAAAAAGAACGATTCGTTCACGAACGTAACATCACTAAAGTATATCATCAGGTAAATAGTTAGTGTTAAAGTAAAAGTCCTCAAAGCTAAAAAAATCATCATTTTAGAAAGTGTAAAGTTGTGTGTTTAATGGTCTAATCATTTCAGGTGGACTTATAGGCCGTTATATGGCTGTGTGTAGTTACATTTATAATAAAACATTTTAATTTATAAACTGTTTTGTGTGCAGAAAAAAAGCAACAAGTAACTAAAGTGGAGTAAAAAAGTGGCATGAAAAGAAAAGACTCAAGCAAAGTACAATTAATTCAACATAGTACATGTACTTGAGGAAGTCTACTTACCTGTAGTTAAATTCCACCACTGCACATTAAATGTATAGCAGTTTGTATCTATTAAAACAAGTTATAGCAACAAAATACTAGTGAAAAAGAAAAAAATATTTTAATTTAGTTTATTTAAATGGGTCTATTTTTTTCAGTTATTGCAATGTATCATATAAATTAAATATGATTGTGTCAGCTTCGAGATCTATACAATGTAATGTCAGTGTATACACTAATAAAAATTCTATCCCTTATACATTTAATGAAAGTAACAAATAATTTAAGAATTACCAACAGCATTGTGCAACAGGTCCAGGTGTCCAAAACATTGTAGCCTCTGCCATTTGTTGAGTTCTGCAGCCTTCTTCACATTGCTCCCGTTGTCAGTCGTTATAGCCACCTGATGCTCTGGACGCAGCCCCCATGAATCCAGCGCATCCCTTAGGCCAACGGAGATGTTTTGTCCCGTGTGGTCCTCGGGGAAGTAGGATGTCTGAAGGCATTTGCTGACGAGTTCATACTCGGGCGTAATAATGCACAGTGAGACTTATGTACGCTTCCGTAGTGCGACTGGACCAAAGGTCGGTCGTGGATGAAAAATATTCAATCTTTCCGACTCCAAACTCTGCCTGCACCGCCTTTCTGCACTGTTCATAAAGTTCCGGGATAGCTATCTGTGAGAAATATGTGCGGGATGGGATTTGGTACCGTTTGTCTAGTACATCCAGAAGCTTCTTGAAGCCTTTATTTTCCACTGCGTGGATGGGCATCATATCTTTGGGCAAATAGTATGTTATAGCATTGGTGATTTCGGTATGCCTCTTTGAGTTTTTCTCGTACTTTGTGCCACCAGCAAAAGCACTCGCTAGCGAGACGGGGCGCATTAAAAAAAGAAAGACGCATAATTATCGCGAGACTTTTGATAATGATATCGAGCGACGTAATATCGCGATAACGATATTGATTCGATATATCGTGCACCCCTAGCTGTGAGTGGATAACAGTTTTGCATATTATAATGAGTTTCGACTCACCCGTCGGTGCACTTGGGGGAAATTATTTTGAAAACGTCCAATGTTGTAAAATGGCGACCGGAATGATTCGCCCATACATGTTCGACCCTTAGATGTCAAAAGCTCAAGATTTCTCAGTTCATCACCCCTTTAACAACACACATTTTTGAGAAACCCAAGATATTTAGAATACTACAACTCAAAGTATTTTCATAAATACTGCACTGACATCAGTATTCATAAAAGCTGTGTTTTGTTTGCATTCTTATTTACAGCATGCCGAGAGCCCAAAGTATCTGTGCTGGTCAAACAGAGAGTTCTTCCTCCCCACATCCCTTCCAGGTACTATTTCACTCCATACATCAACGCATATGCAAATTTAGTTTTACTGGTTTTCCATTAAATAATGTGATATAATTCTCCCATTCCTTCCAAAGCCACACTTTCAAGTAATACAGTTTATGTAAAATGTGAACTGTAAACTTCCAGGGTGCTGGTAGCATTTCATTTATTCGCTATGTTTCTCTTTAGGAAAACACCTGTGCATAAGTTTTATTCTTCTTCTGGGGCAACCAATTTCTTAAGGGAAGTGTGGCCCACCCAGACCCCTTTCAGCCTCCCCCCACTCCCACAGGGCTTTCACCATCTCTACACACACATTGAGTACGAGTGTATGTCCCCGTACTACCAGCACTCTGGAAGTGCGCGCAGAACCTGCCTGAAGATGGGGAAGTGGAGTGGACGTCATGTCTCTTGTTCACCAGGTGAGGGCACACATGACCCAAAACATACAGCACTGCAGGAGGTGTAGCGGGCGCTGCTGAAAGGATAACTCATTCAGAAAATCTTTATTCATTTAATCACCCACACATCCTTCCAATCCTGTATGCCTTAGAGCAGCCTAAAAGCACCATAAAAGTAGTCCAGTTATAACTTGTGCATTATATCCCAAGTCTTGCTTCATGATTGCACATATTCAAAGTCTTGATGCACAAGGTCTCCTACAACAAGTTTACATGCATCCAAGGATAAAAAACACCTTCATGCTCTCATAATATACATCACATCACCACATTTTTAATTGATTCTCAAACGACTCAACAAATCCAAATCCAGTCTCTCTAAATCTCTTCTTTCTTTGAACCCTAACCCAAATTTTGTCCCCACAACATTGAACATTTCTAGTGTTACTATCCTTGTGGGAACATTTGGTCCACAATGTAGGGAATGCACACTCTCACACACACAGGAAAATGCATGAGGTAGTGAGGAAGTAATAAAAGACTGTATTGAGATCTCCATAACAATGCAAATCCTCAAAGTGCTCTTTTATTGATAACTTCCATAATCTGTCAAGTATTCCTTGCTTTTGTTTCTTCTCTTAGTTTCTTTTCTCTCTCTCTCTGTGCCAGTGTGTGGGAAGCTGACGAACTTTGACCCTCAGAACCCAGCAGAAACTAAATGGCCCTGGCTGGCTGCCATCTACCGTTTGCCTGTTGCAAGCAAACTAGGGAAGTTAAGTGTGACGAGGACAATGGGGAAAAGCACCGGGCCGATGGAAGAAGAGAGTGACATGGATGGTTGGCAGCTTGTTTGCAGCGGAGCCCTGGTGAACCAGCGCAGTGTGGTGGTCGCTGCCCACTGTGTCACAGAGCTGGGGAAGTTATATCCACTTGACACGGCCAAACTCCGAGTCGTGCTCGGCAAACAGTATCGCAGCGATCTGAGGGTGACCAAGGGACTGCAGCGATTACGGGTCAGTTTGTGGAACACCAACAGCTAGAAGTTTGGACATTGTTTATTATTGCTACATTCCACATTTTATACTAAAATTTTATATCTACACACAATTTAAATCTCCAAAACACTGCTGGGGGCCTCCAGGACACCCTGGCCTAGAATACAGCTCTCTGTGTAATAATCATATGCTGCCAAATGTTTTTGTACATTCTGTTATTCACTCCACGTCTCATCTCTGATTGGCCAGGTTTCCTCCATCACTCTCCATCCAAACTATGATCCCCTGGTGCTGGACTCGGATGTGGCCGTACTGAAGCTCTTGGACAAGGCTCGTATCGGAGAACACGTGAAGCCGATCTGCCTTCCGAACGCTCAGGATCCGGTAGAAGACTCCGGGCCGGGGATGGTGACAGGCTGGTCCCTCGTACCTGACCGAGAGGCTGGAAATGTTGAGAAAGCACGCGTGGGCCGTGTGATTCTGGGCGATATTGTTCACTGTGAGCAGCAATATGCCAATCACGGTGTTCCTATCAGTGTGTCTGAAAACATGCTGTGTGGGCGCCAGGGTGCGGGCGCTGGTCAGTCCAACATCTGCCCTGCCGACACTGGAGGGATTCTCATCTTCCCAGTCTCCAGTCCCACACCTCCACAAGGACAGGGTTCACAAGAGTGGAAACTTTCAGGGTTGGTCAGTTTCGGATATGATTCTTCAAACTGCAACCCAGAGCTTTACACCGTGTACACTAACGTTGCTAATTTTGTCAACTTTATAGAGGGGAATATGACATAGGCTGACATGCAATATTACATCTAGTCTCTGTCTCATTTATATTACGTCATGCATTTCCTTCTATCCCTTATAATTCTGCATAATGGGGTAATGTATACACTGGACGATGCAGTGCACAGATGTATAGGACATGGACTTGTACTTTAAACATTAAGTCCGAACACAACATGAACATCTGCCAGCTCTTTCTACAGTATGTGCTGGCCTCGACTTCTCAGGTGATGTAAAATGAGTCACATCTAGTGATAGTTGGTTTGCCTATAAATCTTTAAATTGTACATAAATTGTAAAATTGTATTTACGGAATGTAATAAGCATTATCGAAAGGTGTACATATTTACATATAATAACATATATTGTCATTGGTCAGAGTGTAACTCATAGTAATATGGACTGCAGTGACATTGTCTCTGAGGAGGCAAGTGAAAAATAAAAGGGGAAATGATTAACACAACAAAATGAAAACTAATCAAATATTACAACACCACATTTTTCGAAAATGACAGTTCATCTGCTACAATTTCAGAGCTAATTCTTAGAAGTCGTTAAAGTGTGATCAGAATATGAGGAAAGCAGCGCCTCTATTGAGCTAGGATTGGCCTCTTGTCCGAATCTAAATAAACTGGAAACCGTTTTAGCAAGCGTTCGTCTCAGTTCAATGAATTGATGTACCTTATTGCCTGTGACTACTTCTGATGTCTACAGAGGATATATTGTGTAATGTTTCAAACAACAGTGCAAGTTAACACTCTCATATAATACTTTACTGAGGTCCATGATGGAGGCTTGAGACTCGAGTCGATTATCTAGTCATTCTTATCTAATCGAGCTGACTATCAACTTGACATGACCATCTAACCAAATTGGGACCCTTTTTTTTTGCCAATTTTTCTTTTCAAAGCTAAAGAAATGAATCTGCAGCCATCTGCATGTTTGAAGTGAATAGAAACTGAGGCAGTATTAAGGTGATGGAGGCATGCTGAGATAAGTAGCTGTTTAAAAGCCCTTGTGATGTGATGAACATTTAAATCTTCTTTTAATAAAAAATGTAAAAACTTTAGAATATTAAGCAATATAGAATTGGTTGCTTGTTGGTAGTGTAAGGTAAACGTTACTTTAACCAGAAACTGTGTAAGTAACACCAGCATGTTCTTTATAGACAGGTTACAGTCAAATGCATATGCATTCGAGCAGATCCATGCAAATGTCAACCTTAGCATGAAAAAATAAAGTTTTTACCAAACAAAACCCTTTTTAAACCCTTGTTTCTCCCTCTCTATGACATTTTTGGTGTTAACCACGTACGTGTTTAAGCCTGCCTTTCACCTTCCCAGTTTTCCTCTTTGCTCATGTCATCTCTCAAATACACTCCTAAGTACTTAAACCTTCCTCTTTTCCACTAAACCATCAGGAAGGCTCAGTTTCCTTTTTAACCAAATTTTAAGTAAAAGTGATATACTGATAAGTCATGGTTGCAATCAGCCATAACAACAAAATAAGAAGGAATCGTGGCAGAACGACGCAGTGTCTCGTTCCCTTCTCAGGGAACAGGGGTTATAGTCATAACCCGAGACGTTTTCAAGTCTATTTAAAAGAATGTTGCGGTCGATATAGTATCAAGATCGATTAATCGTGTAACACTAATATACAGTATAGATACAACCACGATCGGATGATAAGAGCAGATCATTTGTGACTCTAATGAGAGCTGTCTCAATACTATGATGACTGAAAATCCTCGCAGATATCATTTCTTTCTAAAAAGGAATACAGTGGTGAGGATACTGCTTTTTCTAGTATCTTTGACAGAAAAGGCAGATTCGAGATTGGCCTGTAATTGACTAATTCTGTAGGATTAAGTTGCGTTTTTTTAACAAGCGGTTTAATCATAGCCAGCTTATAGGTTTTTGGTACGTATCCTAGAGACAAAGATGAATTAATGATATTTGGAAGAGGATTTGACGTTTGCATAGTTATAATTTTGTCCCTGATATTATCGATCTTATAAGTAAAGTAGTCATTACTGCTGTGTTTCTTGGAAACTTCTGGGCTTCATTAGTTTAGTCACTTTTTCAAATAATTACCTAGGATTATGTTTATTTTCTGAAAAATACCTCTAGTGAAATACCTCTAGTTTAGTTTTCTTCTAGCTACGCTCCATTTTTCTGGCTGCTCTATAGGGGCCCGAATGTGCTCGTTGTACCACGGCGTTGGACTATATTCTTTAATCTTCTTGAAGTGCAGTGGAGCAACTGCGTCTAAAGTGCTGGAAAAGAGAGAGTTAAAAGTTTCTGTCATGATATTGAGTTCTTCTAAGCTATCCAGGATTCTGAGATGATGAAACTGATTAGGAAGATTATTGATAAAGCAATCTTTAGTGGCAGAAGTTATAGGTCTAACATATTTATAACACAGAGTCGGCTTCGCAGCCTTGTACAGGAAACAGGCAGGGATACACTCTCAACACGAGGTAACATAAACATCGACCGACAAAGACTGAATGGAACAGAGGGAATTAATACATGGAAGAATCAAACATAATGAGGTGGAAACAGGTGAAACAGATGAAACAGGACGCTGAACGGGAGGCTGATGAGGGAGTGAGTTCAGGTGTGCAGACGAGAGGATCATGGGAAGTGTAGTGCAGGAGACGCAGACAGGATGGTGCAGACGCAGACGCAGACAGTAGCCAGCAGAATTCTCAAACGTGATTTATCATTTACACTATATATTTTTACACTAAGCACCAACACTTCAAAAGAAGTATATTTTGAAGACTGTATTTCTTAGTGGTTTTGAAAATATTACTATAAATTACAGCAACACCTCCCCCTTTGCCTTTCAGACGAGGTTCATGTTTATAACAGTAATGTTGCGGGGTGGACTCATTTAAAGTTATGTAATCGTTTGGTTTTAGCCAGGATTCTGTCAAACACAGCACATCTAGGTTATAATTTGAAACAATATCATTAACTATGAGTGTTTTTGAAGTAAGGGATCGAATATTCAGCAACCCAAGCTTTATCGTTTGCTCATCTGTATTATATTTGTTTTTTATTTGTTGAACATCAATTAAATGTTTAACCTTAGATAGGTTTGGACCAGGGCCGGATTGGGACCCATTTTCAGCCCTGGAGTTTCATGCCTTAGACCGGCCCACTTTAGTTCACGACTGACTATGTTAAAATAATGTAATTAAAACCTCAGAATATAAGTCTGCAATAGACACACTGTTCTCTACAGCCTTCATTGTATTTTTGAAAAATATCATCATTTCCAATTCAATGCAAAAACAGTAGCCTAAGTTCTGCTTCACAGTGAAGATTTATTAGAACAGTAAATAACAGGATAGTATCAGAATCTATTTTCTTTCAGATTTAGTATTCATAAATATCCAAACATTGAAATGAAGAAAAAAATAATAAAAACAAATGTATAAAACAAAATAAAAAATAAAGATTAAAATAAAATGTATTGCACTTTCTAATAATGACAGTATCGCTTTTTCAAGGAAACAGCTGCTTTACAACTTCAAATATTTTTCACAAATATGAGAACATTAGTTAAAGAATTAAACAAGCATTGCACTGTTATCTGACCTTTATAACTTTCTAATGATCGTTTCATCTCTTTTTCCTTTGCAAAAGTTCAAGGAGCTGCATAAGTTTAGCTTCAAGTTTAGCTTCAAGCAAGGAAGGACAACCCTAAAACATTAATAAACGCCTGAGGAGATAACACAGTCTCATCCCAAAAAGTCATATAACTGACGTTTTGGGACGTATTTTGACCATACGTCAATATCCGCCTTTTTAGGGCCCCCTTAAACGTCGGTAGATGGCGATCCCGGGCCGTCATACAACTGACGCTTTACCTTTAACGTCAGTTAGGTGACGGGTTAGGTTTAGGTCTGGGGTAGGGTTAGGATCCCATAACCTCATCTACCGACGTTTAAGGGGCCTCTAAAAAGGCGAATATTGACGTATGGTCAAAAGACGTCCCAAAACGTCAGTTATATGACGTCTTGGGATGAGACCGGGTTGGAGGAGAGCACTGGTCTCTGCAACTTTATCTATCACAGTGTCATTGTCCAAAGACATGAGAATTTCTTTCTCAGTGCACATGAGCATGAATGCCTCAAAGTTCTTCTGGGTTAAAGTGCTCCTGAGTCTGTTTTTTATGAATTTCACTGTTGAGAAGCTTCTCTCACATTAACACTGTGATGGACAGTGTTAATAGCAACTTGTAGGCAAGTCCAATGACATGGTAGGCATCAGTTAGAAGATTGTACTGAGATGAACACAAATAACACAGTTTTTTTACAGGAGGAACAAGTTTTGCTCTCTAGTTCGACATCCTGCGGTTCCATGGAAGGATCCTCATCCCCTCCTTGTGGGATTTCACTAGCTGTCCTAACAACGTAACCCTCCAGAGGGGACATCTTTAGTCTGTCCCACTGAGATGCAAGGCTGCACAGTTCACCACATAATGTGCCAACTGTAGCCCTGTCGTCAAACTTAAGCAGACATTTGCTTATTTCTTCCAGAGCTGAGCTGGGGAGTCCATTTTCCCTCACATGAGCAAAGTTTCTAGGGTCTAAACAGGCAAAATCTGAGCAAAGTTTTGCAGAGAACCTCCTTTGGATACTGCCTATTACTGTGTCTACAATGACATTGTGTACTTTTACCTCAAAGTCAGTATCAGCTGATGCTAACTGCTCATCTCCTGGCATTCTTTTCTTTTTCTGATCCTTCTCTCAGAAAAGGCAGCCTGCACTACAAGCTCACACTCTTCCTCTTGCACCTTTCCATTAGCCCACTTCACGAACTCATCAGCTGCACACTTAACTCCTTCAAAGTCCCTAGCACACTTCCTGAGACCCTCCTCTGTTCCCTCAACCAGACGTTGAGCTGTGATGATATCCATTCCCTTTGTCTGTAAGTATTTTGAAAGGGGGGATGTAAGCTCAAAAATGCGAAGGAAGAGTTGAGCAGTGACCACTGTCTCATACTTCAAAAAGCCTTCTATGAATCCCTTTGCCTTGGCCCTCACAGATGGCTTTTGTGTACTGTCATCTAAAATGGTGTCTAAAGTCATGAGCACTTCAAAAAACAAGCCGAAGCACCCAAACACTTTACTTAGTGCCTGATCCTTAGCCCACCGTCTAGTTGGCCCTATTGGGCACAGTCGTCTGTGATGCTTGTCCTGACTCTTCTCCTCCCACTTCTGCATGCGCTTGTATGACTCTCTTAGAAAAACTGCGACATCGTTAAGCAGTGAAAACAGAGATGCACTTTCCACAACACTGCCTGTTGTCTCTGCTAGTACAAGATTCAAAAGATGTGCATAACACCAAAAATGAACCAGATTGGGGGAATGCTCAGAGAGGAGTGTAGAACTGACCCTGCATATTAGCTGCACCATCTGTTGAGTTGCCCACACATGTGCCAATGTCAATATTAAGGTTCAGTAGCACTTTTCCCAGAAGCCCTACAAAATGCTGGCCAGTAGATGACTCACAGTCTACCAAAGCAATCAGTCTTTCGTGAATGACATCTGTTACACATCGAAGTATAATTGAACACTGGTCTTTGGAGCTGATATCTTGCGTTGTGTCGATTTGAACTGAAAACATGCCAGCTTGTCTCACTTCTTCTGCTATAGTCACCTTTATCAGTTGGCTAATGACATCCACAACTTTATTTATTGTCTCTTTTGACAGCAGAGTAACTAGTGCACCTCTGCCTTTTGCACCAGTTTCATGCTGTTTTCAATGCAATTATTAACATGCTGTTGGAGGCAAATGTCATACTCAAGAGTAGAATCAACTCCAGGACGTTACTATGATTAACCGCAATGTTTTCTAAGCTAAAGGCTCCCTCTTCTTTATCTCCCCTGTAGCTAAGCCCACATTTGCCTATGACTTTAACAACGTAAATTCATCTTGATGTAAGATTCATTTATTTATATATATATATATATATAAATGAATCTTACATCAAGATGAATTTACTAAACAAGTATGAAAAAACACCTCAAAATTAAGTGATTTTTTTTTTTTTTTTTTACTTAAAACAAGCTATGGTACATTATCTACCAATGGGGTAAGACATATTGTTGTGTTAGGCAACAACAAAATCACTTAATTTTTAAGGGGGGGTTCTCCAGAAAACAAGACATCATTTCTTATGTCATTTCACTTATTTAGTATGTATATTGAATTAAGAATATTAGATAATATTTAGATATTT